TGATACGAATTTTGTCTATTGACATCCCCGCGTCTCATCGTAGCTCAACTCACGTGAAGATCGCGGTATCACGTGATAAAGTCCATACTCAAAGTCAACTCCCTCTTTACAATTCTGATATATGCAGAGATTCCTGATCCCACTTGAGGCGTCTAGGGGCGCTTCCAGTAGCATGAACGTCCTCTTTGATACTTTCCGAACTTTCTAAGACAGTCTCTCGATTTGCGCCGCTTCCCCCTAGACCTGATTGCGCTCATTGTGCACAGAAACAGAACACCAGAAATGCGCCCAAGTCTCAAATTTCAGCTCTCAAGTCGATATTTATACCCAAGAATGCGATCAAGGTCAAGAGGATGATCCATGGACTGGCGACGGGGCAAATTTAAAGACCAGAAAATATTGAAGAAAAGAAAAAGGGATCCGGCGAAATTGGGTAAATCACGATGTTTTACCATCATGCGATGCCTCCATCATCACCCCTCATAATCAAGACAAGCCACCACGCAAGCTGCACCAAGACCAATTCTAAGCCACCATTTCTGACATCCTAAGCCGTGCCATAATATAGCATCATCAGAAAAAAATCTGCGACACCTCTCAGAATGACGACGGAGTCTTCTGGTTATCATTTTGCCGTCGCAAGTTGACACATGCGATTGAAGGACGATCGAGATCAACCCATCCTTGCATGGATCGCTTCAATTGAGCCAATTCATCAACTGTAAAAGTAGCTCAGCTTCATTCTTAGAGATACTAAATTTAGAGTTACGGTCTCACAACGGTGCGACAGGTTGCGGGACTCATGAGTTTTACGCCTTTATATCGCATGAAACCCTCAAAGACAAAAGTGGCAAGTTCAACATCCCTAGGCCGAATGACAGTGCAATTGAAGTCTTTTAATATTAAACGTGTGTATGTTTTACCGTCATGTTCAGATCGATTTGTGCGACTCGGTGGATTACGACTTTGCGCAACGTATTTCGCATCGGAATCCTTTTGTGCGACAGAAATCGCACAGGATTCAACAGGTACCAATAGCGGCTGACTAAATGGTTGAGATGCATCATTTTTTCAAGGTACGCACACACGCACGGAAATCTAGAGACCGCCACATGCCAGACAAACAAGTTGGATGCGTCGTGACGAGGGATGAGGCAATGATTAAAGCCAACACGGATTGGGCGCAATTCTACCAGATAGTCTAAAATTTGTGATGACTTTTTGACAAAGCAGTCATAATAAATGCCGAACCCTGTCACATTCTTCTGACAAACTGAACGACGCACAGGTAGATACGATCAAGGGTAATTGATCAGTGAATCCCTAATACACACCGTATCTTCTTTTGTGCGCCAGGCCTCTGGGGATAGCAATGGATGTCTGATGATAAACCGAATCGCAAATCAGATCAGGCACATAGGTAGGCAGGCAAACCCTGTACTACGAGCGAGCGATGGAAGTCAGGCTGGCTGATTATTGTTTAATTATTTCGCTTGCCACAGGTGGGTGGGGTCTCAGGGAAGGCTATCCGAGAGGGATAAAGAGAGACATTAGGCCAGTCTCAATCTCACTCACTCACGGACTGCTTGGTCGAGATGGGCTGCGACGAGCGCTGATTCGATCGATGGATGGATGTTGCCGTTGTCGCATCTTGTTTTTTGTTGTTGACCTTTTTTTGCGCCAGCGCATTCAAACGTGGATAACCCAGGGCGGGGCGGTGACAGCGTGCACGCAAGCGTCATGCTTGATGGACGATGGGCGCATCGCATGCTTTGCTCCAATGTAACCCTGTTACACACAGACGGAACAACTTCAGTGTGTATCGAGCTTTATAGCAGGCGCATTCCTTCCTCGACCAGCGCAATCACATACTGTAATTACTAACAAGGGGCGCAAAGTTTAGCCTTCATGTTGCGACAGATAGTCCATTCAAGAGGCAATGTGAAGCGAGCGCATTGCTGCTGCGTTGCGCAATTCTGAATCTGAATCGCATTGTGTGGCAAGGGTCTGCTGGGCCCCGTACGGAATATGCACGGTATAGGTAGGTAAAGGTAGACTAAGTTAGTCCGTCACGGGTCGTTGAGGGCCCTCGCTCCTCATATTCGAATCATCCAATGCTAGTTTTAGTTGAGGATAATACTACTATGCATGGCCTGTCGATGCCATACCCTTTGGTCTTTGGGACCATTATTGTAGTGCAGGTAGAAGGGTCCACAACCTCGATATCTACCTGCATAGTGCTAACCTGCCTAGATACAGTAGAGGCCGCAAGGGTAGACACGGTAGAGTAGGGTTAGTTGGTAGGTAGGCAGGTAAACAAAGGAACATCTAAACAACACGTCCAGGCCGGTTCAAGGCTGTCAGACCAGCAAACAGTCTGTGGTTCTATGACCTAGTATGGATCGATCGCATCCATGGCACCATACCAGACCATCCACATTCACGCTGTGCGCGTATCTGACCCCGTGCTGAAACAAAACAAGCCTGAACGTGTGGCCATCTAACAACGGCCTCGTGCGCGACGAACGAATCATTGCGACCGCTGCCTGAACGGTTCAATATGAAACCCCATTGAGCTTTATCCCCAGCTACCGAGGGAAATTGATCGCCCGGGTCAAGGCGCCGCGACGAGGGGGTTATCATGGCACTGACAATTGGCTGTTGTGAATCGCGCAAAGATGTCAAACTTCAATACGGGCGGCGGGCAGAGAACAGGCGGATTCAGTATGGTGAATTGTTCCTACTATTCCAAGCGCCGTCGAATTGTGCGCCTATAGCAAGCAGTTGAGGCTGGCTTGGGTTTTGACGCTCTGTTTTCAATGTCTCGGAATTAACTCGCAAGCTAAGCGCATTATCCTTCGAATTGAAGTGATCAATGAGATGCGCATGCGCAGTAATGGGAAAGAGTTGGCGCAATTCAAACTAGCAGCACTCATTAAGTTGCGGTCAATAACACGAAGCGCGTTCTAATAGCGTTGCTGGCTCCAATTAGCAATGAGAGCGCATTCGATCCTTTGAATGGACTAATGAATTATTTACATCCATCATTGATTGACCAGGTCTAGTGGTAAAAAATACTGGAACATCCAAGTGTCATAATCAATATCGCCACCAAGGGGGTTTCCTCGGTGCCAGTATCCAAGGATTGAGCAGCGTATAAAAGAGGTTTGCTTCGAAAACTTAATAACGGTCGAGAAATTATCTTGATTGTGATTTGTTATTGTTCCCTTTCGGGTTCCTGGAGCTCGTCAACAACAGACAAGGTCGTGGTGTCTACCGTGCGCCAAGTTTGTTCGACACACATGATCAGCCTTTAGTAGACAGGTCCCCTAGCTTTGCCGGCCATGCCATTGAGTGCGATTGGCTATCAGTGATATCTTGCAACCACCAACTCAGACATCTTTGGGTCGTTGAATCAGCAGCTCTCCGCTCTGTAGTTATGCGCTCGTTGACAGAAGGAATAGCCAGCTGCCTCGATGTATCTATCCATATAGTACAACCACAATTGGGTCTACGAAGCGCAAACTTGCCAACGCGAGATTGAGAGAGACCTATTGATTCATGATTGAAGATATGCGCCAGTCTTCCGAGTCTTTTGCAAGCCTTGAGCGAGGTCGCACTGAACTCTGGATAAGCTCTGCATGTTCCCATTGGGGCGCGGAAGAGGGATTGAGTGTGTGCGTTTGTGCGCTTGACAGCAGCCCAGCTCAACAAGCGATGTCGCCGAGCATATTCTACAGTATGGCTGACCATTGGATTCTATCTATACCTAGTATTTTGGACACTCATGAGGTTAGCGGGAACCACTGCAGCTGTCGTTGTTCGTTGTCTCCTGTTGGTCCCTAGCCTGCCCACACCACATCTGGATCGGATTGGAGGCGAGGGTCGTCCGTCAAACAGTCACAAAACTCACACGAGGCCACCGACCAAGTGTCAGAGGGGTCTGGAGACAGAGAGGGGCTGGGCTGGGCTGAGGTTTCCTTTTTCCATTGGGGTGTGATTATGATTGTTGGTTGTTGGTGGCCAGCGCCTAGCCCAATTTTGGAGCAATGGATATGTAGCTAGCAGTGGATGGGTCGCGAGTGGCCGATAAGAGTCTAGAGATAGTGGTAGAGTGGATGGCCAGCAAAGCAGTCAGTCAGTCAGTCAGTCGAATTGAGTTGATTTGAGTTGAGTTGAGAGGTTAGGTTAGGTTAGGTTCGGAAGGGAAAGGAAGCGGAAGCCAAGCCAAACCAATGCTGCTAGGGTCCGCAGAAATAGACGACGACCCATAGAGGTCTGTCCGTCATGATACCTGGCAGGATGGAGCCCCAGGGCCAATCTACAAGAATACGCGATTTGGCCGGTATTCGGTGGCATCGTGAATAGAAGCAGACACAGGCGCATTGCTTCTGATCTGCTACTTGACCTGTTCCTGAAGACTATAGTTCAAAGTGGCGTATTGCGACAATCTTAAACAAGATATCGGCCACCACGTAGGGCTCATCATCGCCGTTTAAAGTATGCGCCTTGCTTTGCTGTTGGAGATCGGCATATGACAGACCCCAGGTCCTTGCGGTCTCTTTGATAGCTGGCCCGCACGGGTTTCAAAGGTCAGGAGGGAGATGAGACCCAGATAGAAAGTTGATGTTATTATTGCCTTCATCTCTTTAAGCGACTGCCAATATATGGAAGCAAAACGGAATAGCAGGTAACAGCATTGCGCGCAAAAGACAGTCGACCACTTTTCGATTTGCGCTGCGCTTCGCTGCGCAATGCACCGCCGCATCCGCTTTTCTAGGTTCGTTCGCGCGAGAGGAGTATGTATACTTGTCTAATGTACCATGAAAGGCAATCGAGAATGCGCCCTGGCTTGTTCCCCCTGAAGTGAGTCGCAACCATAATTAAGTGAAGGGCCAAGTCCATAAGCATATCCTATTCAAAGTGTTTAACAATCTACTCAAAATGATTCACTCAATGGTACCGAAATTAGCGGCACGTCATGACTGTTCCTTGAATAGATGTTCGGGTTCATCGGTGCGGTACCACAATGGATGGGTCCTCACCGAATGGAAGCACAATGGATGGATCTAGATAGTATTCAGGGCAAGCCATCCAACCAGCCCTGGCTCATCAATTTCAGCGCCAACTACCATGGATGTTGTGATCAGTCTCCTAAATCTTGGGGTACAAAAATAAGTAGTCTAAGAACTATAGTCTAAGTGTCATAAACTGGCCTACTAATTTCGTCTCTTATGCTTCTGGGTCCAGGACGGGTGTGGTTACAGGCTCTCCAGTGGTATTTATGGCTCTCTCCAGCGCTCTGTCCACCTGGTTTTTATGTCTTTTTCAGGGGACTTTAACGCTGAACTCCCCTAATGCGAGCGGGTTCGTGTTAGTGAAGCCAGCTCCTCATCTGTAGGTAGGTAGCGACAAAATCCAAGAACCTCTCGTCTCATCTGGCTCCTCTTTTCCTCATGCACATCCTCTTGCCGACTGTTCAACGCCGCCACAAGCATCCCAACACGGATCAAGACATCTCTGGTAAGTCCCATCGCCTTTACTACCATGCGCGATTCCCATAGAGGCCCAATCTTGAGGCCCTGCATCTCCCCTCTTCTGTCCTTCATCTGTGGTCCCCCCGTCCTAGTCCCGGAAGCGCCAGACAGACCTGACAGTCAACTGGCCCATTCTCCCCATACACCATTCTTCATTACCATCTCAGTCGTCTTCCATTTCTCTGTTGCTGACAACACATAAACAGCATATACTTCAATAAGCTGTCGTTTCAACGAGAACCACCGCCGCCGCCGTCGTCGTCATACGCACTGCACCGCACCGCCTAAGTCTACGTCTACGTCTTCCGTGAACAGGGTCGGGCCCAGTCTATCAGGCAAAGCCCGCAACCACCACACAATACATGTTCCTACTCTCTCCCATCTAGCCCCATCGATACAGAATTCTGTTTCTCACAGAATGACTTCCATGTCACCTATCGCCTTTGATGCTTCGGCATCGTCAAATGGTGGCAGTGTCTCCCCTCCTCAACAGACAGTGACTCCCAAGAACGTCGCATTCGAATTGATGTTTCCCGATTCCCCGCAATACCGTGCGCGTCTGCCAATGCGAGTGCAAATATATCCCCACGATACTACCGATTCGATTGTTACAACCGTTAAGAATTTCTATGGTCTGTACTCGGGTCCCACCGGATCAAAGGGTGTCAGTTTTGAGGACAATGGAGGAAACACCTTGATCGCTCGATATGAGAATTTCCAAGACCGCATGGTAGTATACGTCAGGGTTATAGAGGAACCTCCAGCGAACTCATATGCTCCCCACCCCTATCACGATCCCTCTGTTGTTAGTCACCCTTACTATAGTGATAACGGCTATCCTGCTCCTGCTCCTGTTCCTCAAGCCTCGCGCTGCGCACAGGAGACGTCCAGGCCTACTTCTCCTTCATCGCGACGGCGAAGCCCTTCTCCTCATACTGCTCGCGGCCGAAGAAGTGCTTCTGCCAGCACAAATGGAAAGAAGTGTCGCTCACGCTCTTCCAAGACTCGCGCCTCGGCTTCGCGAGGCCACAACGAACTGTATAGCGACAGCATTACTACTGGTTACAGCAGCAGCAATGACGAGCATGACTCGACCTCTGGAAAGAACAAGGATCAACTTCCTACTACTGATATCAGTGTTGAGAACATTGTTGAAGGTGGTCGTCGCAAGAGAGCCAAGTTTGAAAGCTCGGTAAGTGGAGACCGCCATTTTGACAAGGCGGGCTCACAGAGACTGACAACGTCGGGTCATAGGAATTGCCCTTGTTCGCACCACCTCAGATGCCAGCAGCAACCTCGAACCCTTCCGTCTCTCCCGCTCGCCGTGTTGAGCCTCATCGCCCTGCGGTGCCCTTCATACAGCCTCACCAAAATCCCTTCACGAACCCCCCTCGCCCTATGCAGTCGCCACAGGGCTACAGCAATGCTATGACACATTCATCCCTTTATTCAACACCCGGTCGCAACCGAAATAGTGGCGGATATACCAGCAGCGCAATGGGAATTATTCCTACTCCCGACCCCACTGTGGGTAGCTGCGTGTCTGAAGAGGACAAGGATGTTGCCATTCAACTGATGCGGCTCGGTGACATGTCCAATATCTCCCACGGCCGAACCTCCGCATCTACAGTCGATGATACATTCAGTGGCATAGCCGATGCTGCTTCCTCCACCGGTGCTACTAGCGATGGTGACAGCGAGAGTGAAGCAGAATTGCCTCCTCCTCGTCGCCAGAAGCTTGATATATCCAGTGGAAAGGTCTACCAGACTACCGAGTCTCATTTTATGCCACCCCCTGAGAGTGCTGAAGTCAGTGGCGATGATGCTGACTACGAGGACGGTGCTGATGACTCTCTTCTCTCCAATGGCAAGGGTAAGCCCGCCAAAACCATGAAGGCCCCTTCAAAGCACAAGAGCTCTTCCTCTGTCTCCAAGACATCTTCAAACAAGGCCTCCAAGGCCGCGCGCCCCGTCAATGGCACCAAGGGCAAGAAGCTTCCCCCTGTTCCCAGTGGCCCAATGTCGCCTGCCTCGATGCCCCCTTCACGAAAGCAGTCAGTAGCATCCACCGGACAAACTCCCCTTGTTCCTGGTGAAGATGATCAACCTGACCTATCTACCAAGCCGCGTTGTCAGCGGTGCAGAAAGAGCAAGAAGGGCTGTGATCGTCAGCGACCTTGCGGACGTTGTCGCGATGCTGGTCTGAACGCCGATCAATGCATTAGTGAGGATGAGGGCAACGGCCGAAAGGGTCGATACGGTCGTCACATGGGAGTGCCCATCAAGAAGGATGAGGTTCCCGCCGTTGCTCAGCCTGCGCTATTACCCGCTGCGCCCATCTCCTCCGCAGCAATGACTCTGGACAAGTCCAAGAAGCGCAAGCGGTGAGCGGCGCCTCTCCCGTGTGGTTGGGTTCCGATTAGTAGTATGTATATACTGGGATCTCAAAGCACACATTGCCGTGTCTTTGCGGCATTTGTACACCACTTATGATTGTTACTCAGGAGGGCGTAATAACGACGGTCAGTTGACCATTACACTCCTTATACGGCGTTTGGAAGAAATATTGCGAGGCTAACTATCAGCCCCTTGCGACAGCCTCGGGGATGTATGTGGAGGAGTTGTGAAGAAACAAGGTGCGGTATGGGAAAGGAAAAAGGGGCGCGCGGATTGGAAAATCTCCCAGAGGTTAGAAGGACATCAAAGAAAAGGCATATGGATGGTTTATCGTGTGCCTGAAAGCGCACAAAGCGGAATGGGTGATCCAAAAGAGGGTCCGCCTGGATGTTCAGGAATCTGCCCATCAACAGCACAAAAGGAGCGGACTGGTTTGACAGCGGGTATTGTTTCTGATTTGTTTCCCCTGGTCTGTAACTTTTCTATAACTTTGTTACCTCACTCGTATCAATACAACATACTCGATGTTAACTTGAGGTCAGATGCGCGTGACTGCGTAAGTGTGCGACAGAGAACTAGTGCGTATGTAGCAGAAAAGATGGCCTCTACACTTTAGGGTACAAAAATAAATGACCTAAGATCATATCATAAGTAGCATAAAAGTGATCTGCTAATTTCGTCTCTTATGCTCCCAGAAGCTAACTTTTCTAACCCTGGGACAAAATATGCAAGTTACAGCAATGCGCACATGACACAAATCCTCAAAAGTCACAGTATATCCACTACCATATCATGCGACCACTTTTCTCTTATTTTGAAGCCGCAATGATGTTGTGGTTGTGAATTGGCAAACGTTGACGTCGCATAGGGCAGTTTGCGCTGTCGCAAAACCCGAAACCTCGGAACAGCCCGCCGACGGGACCGGGCCGATAAATCGCGTACATGCATGAACCCACCCGCGCAAGCTTTGCAACTCTGTCGCAACCTGTATTATATTTCGTTTTGTCTACGTTTTATTGTATGTCTATCCACAGCTTGATATTTTGCAATACTAAATGGCAACGTTGTGATCTTACCTGAACCCCTACCGCAAATCTGATTCCCCCACTATCAAACCTGTACTAGCGTGCCGTTCTGGCTCCACTCTTTACCGATGCGGATACGATGAGATAACCGATTGGCTGTCATATCTTGATCAGTATCACGTGAGACACTTACATCATTATTTTTTCCTTTACCGCTTCTTGTTTACCCCTCCATGAGCGCGGGGTAATTTTTCATAATTTTTTTTTCCGCAAGTCTGGATGTTGGTTACGAGTAATGGACAGAAATAAACGACAGATATCCGATCAGGATGATTTAGCTCGTACTAGTATTCAAAGTTTGAGCCATGCGGGTAGAACCGTTTCGACGACACAGTATTAGATACAGATCATCGTCGCAGAAGCCAGATTGCGCCTTCACATCGAGTTGGATTGTCATGATAGTGCGACCAGTATGCGCAGTCGCAACAGTCGTCGCAAGTCCAGCGCAAAACTGTATCAGTCGCGCATTGTTTGCACCGTTGTTTCTGGTGTCTACCCTTCTGGACGCCGGCCGCGGCCACCAATGTGACTCTGTCCAACGTCTTTCATTGGCCCCGCCGGCTTCAGAGAACGGACTTCCGTCTCCGGGAATGATATTGCCGGCCATCGGGGCGGGTCTTATGTGGGGATGGCGCCCCTGGGTGGGTCCGCCGGTTGAACTTACCCTGGAGATGAATATGATTGATGCTTTTGCCTTCATACTACCAGTGATTAAAATATTATTTGCTGGTGCAACATTTATGTCCTTGTTTAGCTGTGTGTTTTTATAGTTATACTCGACTTTGACCTGTTCAGACTGCTAGGACGTCTAACTGTATGGTTCGGTAAATATAATCCAACATACAACACACGCATCGTCACCACTTTTAAGTGCTCAAGTGTCAATGGAATCTTCGTGAGGAAACGTGCGCCTTGCAATGACTAAGAAGCCCTCGAGGTCTATATTATCTCATAACGTAAGTAAAGGGGGCGGTAGACGTTCTAGTGGGTAGCAGAAAAAATGGCCTCCCAAGTCTTATGATATAAAAATAAGTGGTCTAAGAACCATAGTCTAAGGAGCATAAACTGACCTACTAATTTTGTCTCATGCTTCCAGTAGTCAGTTTTCTGATACCCTGAGGGACGCTGTATGTGACTCCACGATTCAGAGGCGAATGACCGGGTTAACAATGGCAAGCAGCAACTTTCCTGATCCGACCAGCCGACCCCTGAGGTTGTGGGGCGCGATATCGGCAAAGAGATTCTAGAAGAGTGCGCCCTTCGAAGGTGAAAAACACTGACTTGTCTGCTTGTGAATGATGACACAAAGATTGCAGTCGAATAGAGAGTGTGATTGTTATTATATATAAAGTTGTCATATATCTTGAAAACCAAGCAACTGATACAGCACTTCACATTGATAAATGCAAAACCTCCTCTTTCTCTGATCTAGCACGTCAATAATACATACCTCGGCATACTTCTTCACCGTATCAGCAATGTTTAGCAAAGACATTAAAAAGATACCCGACAATAGGTTGTCATCACCATGCCCTTCCGAAAACGATCCCGAAGACCCCCAGATCCTTAATCCCACTATCTCCAATACAAACGCTCCTCCTCCAGTCTTTGACCCAGATACTTTCAATCCTCCGGACGGCGGGTTTCGTGCATGGTCTCAGGTTTTTGCTGTTATTCTCATCAATGGACTGGCATGGGGCTACCCAGCCTCTTTCGGCGTTTACCAGCTTCATTATGAGGAGTCCCTTGGCCTGCCATCGTCCCAGATTTCGTGGATTGGTTCTTGCCAGACTTTCTTGACTTTCGCTTTCTGCGCCCCGGCCGGCCGCCTTGCCGATGCTGGATATACCAGAGAGACTGTCGCCCTTGGAAGCTTCTTGGCTATTCTTGGGACATTTATGACAAGTCTATGTAAGCAGTATTGGCAGATATTCCTTGCCCAAGGTGTGTGCACAGGCATAGGCCTCGCTCTGCTCTTCATGCCTGCTGTGACTGTTCTGGGTTCATATTTCAAGGCGAAGAAGGCATTTGCTCTCGCGTTAGGTGCTACGGGGACTGGTTTGGGATCCATTATCTTCCCTGCAACGCTGCAATATCTCATCCCGCAAATTGGATTCCCGTGGGCTGTTAGATGTGCTGCTTTCGTTGCCCTCTTTATGATCGTCGTTGCCAATATCATGTTGAAGCCATATCTGCCTCCAAGGAAAACAGGTCCATTGATGGAGTGGGATGCGTTCAAGGAACTCCCCTTCGTCTTGTTCGTTCTGGGTGCCTTCCTGAACTTTTACGCCTTGTACTTCGGTTTCTTTTATGTAAGTCACACAACCGGCTCCCGTTCTTGCCTGTATGATTCGCAACTGACTCAACCTGCAGATCAATGTTTACGCACGCAATGTGATAGGATTCTCGTCCGTTGAAGCTGTCAGCCTGCTGCTTGTTGTCAACGCCATGAGTATTCCTGCACGCCCAATAATGGGATATCTCGCAGATAATGTCCTGGGACCTATAAATACGTTCATCATTGGCCTCTTTGCGCTGAGCATCATGTTGTATTGCTGGATAGGTGTCAAGACTGCTGCGGGCATGTATGTATTTTGCATCTTCTTTGGTTTCGCGAATGGTGCGTGTCAAGGAACATTCGTTGGAGCAAATGCCAGCTTGACAAAGGTTTGTGATTCTTTACTCCAGAAGATAACAAGAGCGCTGACATTTCCAGGATCCTCGTAAGATGGGGACTCGCTTCGGTATGGTTCAGACAATTTCTGCTTTTGCCAGTCTGGCTGGACCACCAACCGCCGGCGCCATTCTCGATACTTCCAATGGGAACTTTACTTATGCCCAGATCTGGGGTGGAACCGTGTTCTTTCTTGCAGCTGTTGTAGTTACGGGGTCACGGATTGCATCGACGGGATGGGTACTATTGAAAAAGAAATAAGCAGATGAGAAATTGGAGTGTGTTTGACCAACGCGGGCGAGTCGGGCATCACAAAGGTATAATAAGGGAATATATTGGGTTCCAGCAACATAGTACATGGTAATGTTTAAATTTGAAATGCTTCAGATGTGCACATATTATATCCTGCGAAGATGGTGAAGAGTGGTGATGACTAGTCGGGCGATCTGACTACCATCTTGCCACACATAGTCGTGCTCGCCCCTCAAATCCTTATTGACCTCCAAGTTGACCTCCTGTTTGGCCAAGAGAGTTGCCATATTGTCAATCTCGGGTTCATCAATGAGGCCGTCTTCAGGAGACCAGGCAAGAAGGACCAATTTCCCATTCGACCACTTGCTTTTAAGGCATGAACCAAACTTAACCGGTGAGGCCTTTTCCCACTCAGACTTGTCCTCGCCAAATGCGGATCCAATGAAACCAGCATATCCGCCATTGAATCTCTCGTTGAGTCCGACTAGGTCGTAGATGCCTGAAACTCCGATTATGGCAGCAGGCAAGGGTCCCTTGGGATGAGATGGGAGAATCTCGTCACTCATCAAAAGTTGCATTGCAAGGGTTGCGCCAGCAGAGTGACCGACCAGTATGTAATTCTCCGACAATCCATACTTTTCTTGTGCATAATTCAAGGCTGACCAGATATCTTCCAAGTGATCTGGATGCTTTGCGGTGGCTGCTTCCTGGGGAAACTCTGGATGAGGGGAAAGTCGGTAGTCGATACTAATGAAACCTGCGATATCTAGGGTTGCGACAGCACCTGAGATGACAGTACGCTTTATGCTCTCGGTGAAATCATTCTCGTTGTTACGAGGATCACGCCACCCACCCCCGTGGATGAAGCTGTGTAGCTGTTAGTAAATATCGCAATCGAGGTGAGGAAGCCCTTACACCACCCAATAGCCTGACTTCTGATCGGAGCGATTAGAGAAGCGCCAAACGCCTAGCTTCTGGCGGCTATGATCACCGTATTGGTGAGACGCGTAAGTGAGTCCCAGGGACACGTCTCCAGCAATATCGGCCATTTTGTTTCGGTTTGATGGACGACTTCAAACTATCAGCGCTATGACCTGGACGATGATGCTGGTTGCAGGGGATTTTCGCGGAGGTTTGGTAAGGATTAGGTTAGGTTATAAAGCGCGAGAACCTTCGATTCGAGGCGTTAGTTCCTCCGACAGTTTCTATAGTGAAAAGTCAGCTTAAATTAGGAATGAATTGTGTATGGTCCAGACTCATTTTAGTCTTGAACATATCTACTTACGGATTACTGCCGAACAAGGTGAGGAGGGGTTTTAGTTGGTCGGAACTTTCAAACCCAGTAACGTCCAATCACGGGCACTTTCCAGTTTACCGGGCTCGATATGGCAGGCAGTTAGTCTAGCTACGGCTACACGAACGATCCTTTGATAGTTGACAGGCTCATTTGCTTTTTGCGCAACGTGGTAGGTGGGAAGGAGCACCCTTAAACAGTTGACTTGAAGACGGAAGATGCGATGGAGGGAAGGCACGGAACTACGGGTGAGTACCTTCCGCAGTTTCCGCATTTCCGTCCGCCCGTCAATTTTGTAAAACATCAATCTTTATCTCCTTTAATACCACAGAACCGATGCTATTGACAAACGAACTCACTTCTCGTTTGATTAACCCTGCGATGGGTTAGTCAACCGGAGGATCATATTGCGCGAGGATCAAGCTCCCGGCACAGAAGAAAACGGGAGATTGCCTGGCAGCTCAATCAAACAATTTACGTACTGTATGGAGTATGTACTTTCCATCGTCTCACGAAAAGCCCGTTGAGCTAAGGCACATGGTATGTGGGCTTGCAGTACCCTGTACTGCACCTGTCTGCATAAGGATACTGGCCACGCTGTGAGACGCAAAATCAACAAAGTGGCTGCGAATCACCACGTTTCATACTCCCGACGCACAGTTTGCTAGTCTTCACCCGTGATGAGGCCACACCTGAAGATGAACAGGGGCTTCATAGCCGACAGGCATGCTAGGAAGCGAGGCGGATCAATGATTGTCATGCCCTGTCTACCTGTTCCCTCGGGTTCTTCAATGTTACCCTCTTCCCGTCGATAGTCTCCAAATCGCGAGTGACTAATGCGCTAATAGATCAGCTCAATATCAAATCCAACATGTGATCGATTATAACCACAGGCTGAGATATTGTTTGAAAACACGACTGACTACATTGTTTTCTCGATTGGTTCTCTCAAAAGCTCTCTCGATGTCTCGATAACAGGGATGCAGAACTAGGCGTCCGAGCTGATGCTGAAACAATGGTTAAGCTGAAGCCTTGCTAAGTACGGTTGAAGGTGTCCTACCATATCTTCGGGCCCTATCATCGGTAGAAGCTGCTGAGAAAGGTCTAGCCACTGGAAAATCACCATGGGTACAGTTCAAAGATCTGCAATACCTTTCTTTGCCCTCTAGTTCAAGTTGAATCTCATAAATTCATCTAACTTTGCTGGGGAAATCTTGCGGCTCCACCAACTTAGCTGCCTGACGTACGATTGCCAACGGTCTTATCCATGGGCCGTTAAAGATGCTGTTCGAGACCAACCAATTGGATTGGTCGAAATGAGAAATTTCCATAAGTCCTAACTGGAAGTATTCAACCCCGAGCAATGGCGTCTGGCTAAGAAAGGTAATTGCTGGTGGCTTCAATCGCTGTGCAGGGTTCTTGGTTCTTAGTATCAAACAAGGGCATTGTTCTTGATTGACTTTGCTCAACAGCTAACATTACACATCGACAACGGGTTGCCACTAAAGTTCGCTTCTCAACATTCAAAATATGAGAGCCTACACAGAACAAGACCATACACTGCTTGATTGATGCTTGCTGTTCACAAAATGACAAAATTGCTTTTCCCAAACGATATGGCGAGGCTCTGCCCTACTTGTCAGACAAGTTACCAAACGAGACTCTGACAGACCCGTCACTCCTGTCAAACCAAGAAAGGATCTGTATGGGTACGAAATCGGGGAAGTAGGTTCGCTTCCCGCTAACCCTGGTTATTGAAGAACGCTAGAACCATGCCGCAAAAGGCTTTGAATCCTCAAAGTGACAAGGTGCCAGGGTACCCTGACGACACCAGCTTCACACCCTCTTTGTCCTTCAACCGGAGGCACGTCTTTGTACCTTGCATTCGTCGTATCACATCCACACACCATGGCCACCAACTTCATTTTGACACCCCCAGAAGCGGGCTGCGTGCCGAACACTCTTACCTGCGTTTGATCAGATCCGCCATGTCGGTTGGGTGCAATATCAAGTGTGTGATTCACTGGTGTCTCTTGCACCTGTGAGATATATCTTGGAGTGGCCCAGCCCCCTTGCCTGGCTTGCACTGATATTATCCATGGCCCTCGTCTGATATCATTTACTGCCCTATGTCCCCTTTTGACCATTCCTTGACACTTGAAAAGCAGGCCATGCTCGACGCTGCTGGCATCTTGTGACGCCGGAGCGCCATGGCTAATAACAAAAATATCGACTTGGACGAGGAAAATGGAATCGCGTTAGTTGCAACAGCAATAACCCTGTTGGCCCTCAGCTGGATCTCAGTTGGGTTGCGTACCTACACGAGAGTTTGGTTAATGAAAGGTCAACAACTCGATGACTGGCTCATGCTTATTGCCCAGGTACATGATTTCCATCACACTGCACCACCAGAAAAAACTTACCAAGTAATAGATCATCTTCACTGTATCATGCTCTTTCATCCTGGAAGGTGTTGAAAAAGGAATAGGAAAACATAACGACGCTTTCCAGTCTGATGAGATCAAAGTACGGGCCCTTATGGTTAGTGCCCCTTCTTCATATGGATATTTGGGTAGGAAGCTCACATTGTATCAGTGGCAGGCCTTGGCAACTGCAACTTACATTCTAGATATGATGTTTATCAAACTCAGCATTGGTGTCTTCTTGCTTCGGCTCAGTGTCAAGAAGGTTTACAACTGGATAATATGGATCAGTCTAGCCATCATTACCATTTGGAGCCTTGTACTCTGGTTTTGGAACCTGTTTCAATGCGACCCAGTAGAGATGCAGTGGGACTTCCGTATCAAAGACGGCACTTGTGTTTCCGCCGACCAAATCGTCTCAGCTGCCTATGCGATAAGTGTCATGACGGTTCTATCTGACTGGCTCTATGTGAGTGAAGCTCCCCATCATGTATTTGATCTTCGCTTATCTTTCACAAAAGGCGCTGCTCCCCATCCCGATGCTGTGGTCTGTAAAGATGACAAAACAAGCCAAAGCAACTGTTATTATCATTCTAGGACTGGGTATATTGTAAGTTGAGGCTTCCCTTTTCGCACCAAACGTATGTCTAATGAACCGTTAAGTGCAAGTATCGCAACCTTGGTACGCCTACGCTTTCTCGCTGATCTTACTGACACCGAGGACATACTATGTGAGTGATGCCTGAACGGATGCTTCGTTTCTAGCTGACATCTCTTCAGTTGCTGGCACCGATGCCATGGTTTGGACCCTGATAGAACCAGGTGTTGCCATTATTGCATCCAGTCTAGCTACCATACGACCACTTTTACGAACTATGAAAATTAAGGGTTTCGAATCTACCGATCACACTTACGGCACGGGACATTCCGGGGTTGGCAAGACCAATCCAAACCGCCACAATGCTGGAGTCACGGTTATGCCAGGCTTCGGTCCCAATGATGTCTCGCTGACCAACGTCCCTCCCCATAGCCACGACCGACCCTATCCAGACGATACCTACATTTTACCTCCTCGACGCCCAACTGATGGTCCCCTCTCACCCGGACAAACCAGTCTCGCTAAGAGCGAGATCTTGGTGCTACAAAGCAACATATCGCCTCCACAGACACCTCCCGGAACCCAAATGTATCGATCTCCTTCTGGATCCTTTGACCAGATCCACGATCTCGAGGCACAGAGTCAAGATCTCGAGCGCCTTAATATTAGAGGGAAAAGGAGATGAATGGTTCTATAATACGATACCCCCATTAACGAAAGGAGGGCCAGACACATAGCAAACTGTCTTGTCCTTGTTATATTTTACGTTTATACAGATGATTTCTTTTCGGGCAGGGGAAGCACAACAGTGAAAGGCGTTGGATGGAGGACCGGTAGACTGGGCAGAAGAACCCTACCTAAGATAATAGCATCGGCCGACTTTATTGAGAGAGCTATTATACGAGGGAAGACAACACAAACTCTGGACTGACAGGAGCTATAGGGTAAGGCGCATGGTGCATTTCTTGAAAACACTCGGGCGTTTGGATAGGCAGCTCCTAATGTACTTATGATGATTGGTAACTTTTTCAATAACTGCCCAACCTTTTTTTCAAAATCTGTAATACCTCTTGAGCCGCCTGTTCCCAATACTTTTTAGCCTGCAAAATTTTGACATTTGCAAGAGCCGATATCCAAGACGCAATTAAGGAACCCGTGCACTTTTTATAAACATGGGGTTTCAAGGGCGGAACACTTGCTGAATGGGTCATATTGGGTATCTTTGTTTATTTAGGCCTGATGCCGCCTGTGTTAGCCACTTCTCGCAAACATATGTGCCTGTCTACCTGAGTAGGTACTTATTCTTATCATACGAGTTTCCTGGCATGGCAATTCGTGACTACATATACATCAGTCACGACACAATTACTCTACTATATTCTAAGGTCCTCGGATGAGACCTCCCATTCCTCCTCCTCATCCCACTTAGGCGCAAGGACGAAACGACCCATGATTTTGCCCATGCCAATACTCTCTCCTCCAACAACACCTGGCCGGGGCTTTTCATCGTTTTCCTCAACGATAACGGCTGTTGTCAAGAAGTTCATGCCAACAGCAGGGCTCAGCTCCATTGTGCTGCCACCCCAGTCCATCTCTACACGGCCTGATTTGCGCACCTTGAGCTGACCCACCATGCCGCCTGAGGACAGCAGACTGGACATGAAACCAGCCTTTTGTTCTGGATCTTCGAAGCCAGGGATGTTGAAGCCAGTGTTCGTGTCGTTGGTGAGATCGACGGGAGAAGCGTCGGCTGCAGCTGGCGTTGATTCGAGAACATTGTCTTCACCCTCGGTAGGTTCAGACTTGATCTTGTTGGACTTTGGTTGGGCGATTTGTTTTAGGGGAGGTAGAACAGGAGGGAATTGGAATAAGTACATGCGGCCGTCCTTGTTGCTGGGACCTTGAGTTTTCGCCCCCTCTCCCTCTGCGCTGTCGGAAATTTCGACTGCGCCCAGTTCATTAGCAAGAATCTCTAGATCTGATCGGATCATGGCTTCTTCCGTTTCTTGTGCTGGTTTCTTGGTTTGTGGCACTGGTGTCGTAGAAGTGTCTTTGCTCTCCGTCTCAATATCCACCTTGTTTTCGAGGTCCAAGTCCATGGACTCGTCCTGCTCTTTCTTGACAACAGTGGGCTTTGAGTCGTTGTCCCAAATGCCTCCATCCTCTCTGTTCTCGCCCATTGGCGGGAGTTCGCCTGCTTCACCATCCACCCAAAGGCTCTCCTCCACTTCCTTAGATTGTGGAGGAGGAACGGCTTGGGCATTTTCAGCGGCTTCCAGTTCTGCTGTGGTGGCCACAATGATGCCTTCATCCTTATGCTCTCGTCGATATATACCCATAGGCAATACACTGACAGCCCTCGAGTTGAGCGCCTCCATCATGGCCTCGTCCTCGCTGTCGAGATCCTCATCGGGGGTGTGAATATGGAGTTTATCCGCGTTGATTCGAGCCTCGCGATTCCGTGTCGCCTGAGCAAAGCCAGTTTTCGAGTCTGATTTGAAACCTCGCCCACCACCAGCACCACCTCCGCCTCCACCACCAAACCAACCACCACCTCCTCGACCACCAGATCCTATAGCTGTTAGAAACTTGCGAGTGAGACAGGGCATCACGCGTTGGTCTTACCTCCTGCACCGGAAGAGAAAGGACCACTGGCTCCTGAAATCACTCGACCGAAACCACCTCTACCCATGGCATCACCACGGCTCCTCTTGCTTCTGAACCGTGAGCGACCACGAGCTTTACGCTCATCTGCCGCTCTCTCACTGGCCTTTTGTTCTTCTTGGCGGGCCAAAGTATCTCTTTCTGCCTCATCTCGACGAACATTCTTGGGTCGGAAGCGACCGGCCGCGGGTGCCCTTGTTGCCCGGGCGGTAGTGCCGCCTCGAGTAGGTGTGGAGGATGTGCTCTGGGGAGCCGGAGTAGCACTGCCTGAATTTGCTTGAGTAGTGGAAGGGCCAGCGCTGCTCTCGTCGGTTGCTCGTGAACCCGCGGCAGCAGCGCCTCTCCGGGTGCCCCGGGCCGATGCCCTTCCTCTGTTCATATTATCCTCAGCTTTGGCGACGATGATGGAATTGATAATGTGGTCTGGCAATCGTTGTCGTTGTCGTTGTCACAGCCTGGAATTGTAGAGCGTTACAAAAATTTAGTCTGAGTTGGGATGCCGAAAGTTAGATAGTGGGGGCGGGAAGGTGGGGGACCAGAAATTCTGCCATGTCGGTTCTTACCGCCTTTAGCTCGATGCCACCGATCAAGATTAGCGTATCTTTAAAGCTTGGTGTTGAAGACTCTGGCACTGGGCGTTGTCAGACTGTGTACTGTATGGAGGACAAGATAATGCATTGTGATAATTGAGAAGTAAGGAATCTTAAATGGCATAATATCAAGATAGGCGCCCAATGTACTGTAGATACGATGATTTGCGGTCAATTCTGGATTGATTCATGATTCATCAAAGAGGGTGGAAGTAGAGTGCCTTCTCGCAACTATCGTAATTCAGGCGTGTTCTATATAATGAAACCAGAATAATGCAGCGTAGCCCTGGAACAAGTCTTCTCATCTATAAGGAATGGTTCCTATATATTCTTCAGAGCCTGGGGCTAGAAAATTTCTACTACTGTGCACGTTCTAAGGTTTATCCAGTCAGTGAGTGATGCCGCCCCAGCACTAACGTCACACTGTAGTAGTTCCTAATGCGGAAATGCGGCCAGGTTCCATTGGCCAGAGACTCAACCGTTGCCCCAGCCGTGTACCTGGGAAATACGACACAAAGACAGCCAAAAGTTCATGTCCTTGCAGTAAGCATCGATGGTTCTTGGTATCTGTGCGAGATCTCATCGAAGGCACATCAACGCTTTGTCTCCAAACTCTGAAGCAATACTCCCCTCTTGAACAAGCATTGAACCTATCCATTCTCGTCCTGCTTCTACTGTTTTTGCCCCGAATTTAACAACCACGCAACCTCGAACGTTGGCTGCAGACCAGAGAACACCGCCTTCCTTCTCATCGTCCAATCTTTGCATCCGCCATCGCTCGAGATCTGAAATATTTGTATTGTCCAGTGCCATCGCTTCTGGCGATCGAAAATCTCGGGCACCAATGCGGGGAAGGGCAGCAAACTCGATTTGGAAGAACTCTCCCAATGACTTTGTCTTGGCCCCCCGCAGAATGAGGGTTCCTGTTATGGCCATATGTTGCATCATTTCTGGGAGCGTTCGGCCAACGGATTTGCTTGCTTCCCTGGACAAGACGATAGAGTCTCGGACAAGGAGTCTGTCCGTGGAAGTCATCTCAGGGTCTTGTAACCATATTTCGTTACGCCCCGACCATTTCCTGAAGCTCCAGTTCTCACCACGGGCGACGCGTCCTTGCGTGACCCAGTCCAAAAGACAAAGAGACGCTTGTTGTCGAAGCTTGAATATTTGCTTCTGGGCATATACGCTATCTTCAAATGGCTGAACAGGGTCTGGTAGAAGGCACATTGAAGCGTTGTTGTCTATAGTGACCTCCAAGTTTTGACTTGTAACGACGTCTGCTGTAGGCGACTTGAAGATTTTTGTGTGACCTTGGGTAGCAATGCTGAGTTTCGCCTCCGGCTTGACGTGGATTGTCAGATTTATACCGTCTCCAGCAACTAAACCGCCTCCATAAGACAGCAGAAACACCAGCGTACTTGGCTGGCTTGACGAAGGAGCCGACGATATCAGTTTTAGAGGATACTGGTAGGTCATAGCCTCAAGGCCACTTTCACCTGCAGGGAGCAGACCAACGACGATGCGGCCATCGCCAGGCGATGAGGACGAGGGAGGAAATGGCGATTCCATTTTGATAGCATATTGTGATGATGCAAAAGGAGAGAAAAGCCAGACAGGGATGAATTAATGAGCGTCTAATTGAGTCAAGACGGTGTCAAAGCCAAACAGCGTCTCCATCTTGACGCAGCATCATTAACAAATAAATGCCTTGGTTTCAACTGAGGCACGAGTCAAAGGGTCTCTGCTATTAGATAAGAGATAAGAGGTAGTTGGTTGAAATTGTGGCTGTTGACCCACATTTGCGCTTGGATTGTGGGGGTGACACTCTGGGCTTGGGCGTGGCTTGAGGAATTCTGGGGGTAGATGAAGGGGAAAGAGGTACTGAAGTGCACTCCTGGAAAGTGTGGTTCAGGACCAAAGCTGCTGCCACCCGATATTCAGCCGTAGGTATGCAGAGGAAACTAACACCACCCACCCACTTTCCAGAATAGCTTGCGGCGTCATCTCAACCTATTTGCACTCTACCCTACCTAGGTACTTGCCTACTCCACGCGACATTCGACGCGCCAAGTGGTCAAAGACTCCATTGTTGCCCTCGCATCGAGGGTTGTTAAGATTGAAACTTGATAATTTCAATTCCCTATAGCGCGACCATCTTTGAAAGAAATCATGGACAGTAATTCAAGCCCAGCAACCGACCCCGATGCCACAACGCGTCGCCGATCGGGACGCGTCGTGAGAGCGCCCTCTAAATTTACACCCGAACCTGCATCCCAGCCAACACACCCAAAGCGCAAGCGAGACGACCAGGACGATGAAGACGACGATGGCGAAGAAGAAGCCGCTGCTGAAACTGAAGCGCCAGATTCAGATGAGGAGATGAGCGACGAGCCTGACAATGACAGCGACGAAGATCATCCCGCACCACGCTCTAGAAAGAAGGCGTCGCAAACAAGTCGCGTAAAGAAACCCTCTGCCAAAAAGCCGAAGATCAATGGTTCCAAACCCTTGCGACCTGCGCGAGTCACTCATGCTGCCAAAAGCCTTCCGAGCAGACCTAAAAAGAGTGTTCGGATCGAAGACGCGGCTGTAAAAGGAACTGGCCTCTATTGTATGCAAAACCCCTTTCGACCTACGCGCTTTTCTATGTACTGACGCGACCCAGCTGATCTTTTCGGCTCGGGCGATTCCAGTAAATCAGTGGCTGAAGAATGGTTGAACAAATACAATGACGATGGGGTGGCAGCTTTTACTGATCTAGTAAATTGCATTTTGCAGTGTGCTGGCTGTGGCCAACTCATCACAGAAGATGATGTTCGAGATGCCGAGAACATCGCTGGCCGACTGGCAGATCTGCAGAGCGTGTATCAAGAGGTAGTGTTCAGCCATGCTCTTGTAACAAAAATTCAGGCTGAGACGATTATAGCAAGAAATCACCGACTACCCCCTTATTTCCAGAACAAAACAGTCGCGATCCTTCCGAGATGTACTCATCAGCTTCTTCGAAAACCTCATTGTCAACATGCACCAAAATAATCTCATGTATAGGGACGAGTTCCTGATTGAAAACCTTCACGCATGGCTTGCCAGCATGTCATCATCAAGCCTCCGACCCTTCCGCCATACAGCCACCACCATATCTTTGGCAGTTCAGTCTGCCCTTGTCATGGTCGCCAACGACCTTGATTTCAGGCTTGGACGTGCAGGAAAAGCTCGAAACTCGAAGGTCAAGATGACTGCTGCGATACAGCGTGATGCGGAAAAGAATACCAGCAATCGCAAAGTTTGCTCCGAGATGATTCAATCGTTTTTCGACACTGTCTTTGTCCACCGCTACCGAGATGTTGACCCTAGAATCAGAACAGAATGTGTGGAGGCTCTCGGCAACTGGATTATTTCCTTGCCAGCCCTTTTTCTTGATCCTGGCTACCTGCGCTACCTAGGCTGGATGTTGTCGGATACTCATGCTCCCACACGCCATGAGGTTCTCAGGCACCTTGCTAAAGTATTTAGAAGAGACGCAGACACATTGGGACATTTTATCGACAGATTTCGCCCCCGTCTAGTGGAGATGGCCTGCAAAGATGCTGACGTCTCTGTTCGCGCAGCAGCGATTGCGGTTATTGACGTCCTTCGTGACCAAGACATGCTCGAGGGCGAAGAGGTCGATGCCATTGGAAAACTTATCTTCGACAATGAACTTAGAATTCGAAAGGCAGTTGTTGGATTCTTTGTAGCATGCACCAAAGACGCTATCAACGAAAAGGTGAAATCGCTAGGTGACTCCGACATTATGGAAGAGATTCCCAAGGGGAAGAAGGCATCTCTTGATGCCCCTCGCGTCGAATGGGTTGACCTGAAGTGCTTGGCTGAGACACTAGCCATTTACGACAGTCAAATTGAGGAAGAGCAAAGTAACCAGGTCTTAGGACTGGATGCAGCCGTAGACCTCTTGGATGCAGCTGTTCCAGAGACTAGAATCTCGTTGGCGTCTCAAGTTCTCTTTGAGAAGGTTGATGAAATCAAGCAATGGACACTGCTCGCTGGATACCTACTATTTGATCACACAACGAGTTCAAAAGCAAGATCCAAGGGCAACAACCCAGAACTTGCATTCAAGAAGGCTGTTGCTCCTTCGCCTGCAGAGGAAGCCATACTACTGGATGTATTGAGTTCGGCGGTCAAGTCAAGCCTAACTCATTCAGGAGAACATGACAGGTCACGAAAGAAGCATCAAACATCCAAAGACGCCGAAGATTTGAGCATTAGCCCCGAAGATACGGCGACTGAGCTTGTTACTGTTATCCCTCATCTTCTAAGCAAATTCGGAGCCGAGCCGGACACTGCCGCAATCGTTCTGCGCCTAGCACACTTTCCCGATATTGAAGTGTTCAAGCAATTGCGGCAAAACACAAACAAATACGAGAAGCTACTTGACGAGATTGTTACCCAATTCAACAGACATGACGATAAGAGAGTCTTGTCCGAAGCGGCTGCAGCACTGCTGCATTCGCGTCGATACGATGAATTGGAGGAAGTTACAGACAGCAAGATCTCAAATCTGTGGGAGTCAACCATGACTGCTTTGCACAACTTCGACAAGACTTACGAGCTTTCATCCAGAGGGAATTTGGAGGAATCGCCTCTCAAGGAACTGGCCACTATCTTATTAAAGATAAGCAAATTGGCAAGTCTGTCCAACTGTGTGGACATTCTTGAGGCGGAGGGGGATTCTACAGAGTCAACAACAACGCCCGTAATTCAAATACTCGCCAACATTGTGCATCGCGGCAAGTATGAACCTCTGGACGATCAGGATGTCGATGACCTGGAGGATGAGGTTGTCTCTTGTGCTATCAAGACCTGTCAGTTCTACTTTATGTGGAAAGCTTTGGCATACAGCACACTTCTTTCATCAGGTCTCAATATCGCAGACGCGGAACTCGATCGCCTATCTGTGCTTCGCCAGACTTTCCGCAGACACCTCATCGAAACGCTTTCCTCTCGCGCCGCCATCGACCAGCTGCGACTATTTGCTACAGGCAGCTTGTGCGATCTTCATCTAACTTTTGCCACCCTACGGCCTGCCATTGAGAGCGCTCGTCCCGCTTCAAATTCTGGGTCGCCTCCCGCGGAAGGTGAAAAATACAAGGCATTGATTCAGGAGATCGAGTCAGGACTTATCCCTGAGCTGATCGCTATTTTTGACGGAGCCGAGAAGCTATACGCCAAGAAGATCAAGAAAGACAAGTTATTGAACGAACCTGCCGAGGATGAAGATCCCATTGCCGATGACGAGGAGGAGGAGGAAGATGATGAGGATGAGAGCCTGTCTGAGGAAGAGCGTCTCGCTGCTGAACTCAAGGCTGAAAAGGCACTCTGCGAACTCACAGCCAAATACGTTCTCGTTATTACCGCACGACTTGTAGACATCAAGGGCACACATGCAGGCAAACTGCGGCGACGTTTACTTCGCAACCAGAATAAACTCGGCCATAACTTCAAAGAGGTTGTCACCTATCTCGATGAGGAGAAGCTGGCTGAGCGAACAAGGAAGAAGGCCGCCAGCGTGCACCCCACAACATCCAAGTCTCAAAAACCCCAACTTAGCGAAGCGCTTGTGATTGAGGACGATGATATCTTCGATAGCACGCCACCCCCTGAGGAGGGTTCACGAGAGGATCTCCGCCAGAAGGGCCTCTTGGAGGATGACCCAATCGAGGACGATGACGAAAATGAAGAAGCGGAACGACCAGCTCATGAATCAGATAATGAAGTTATAGGGGATTAGAACACAGCGTGATTGGCCTCTGTTTTCTCCATTTGCCTCGCAGGCTGACGGTTTTAGTTATTTTCACTCTTTTCTATTTCTGTTTATGTCGTCTCTTGTCGCTTTGGGCTATATGCCGGAGTCTGGGTATGCGGCAGTGGACTTGAGTTTTGGGCGTGAAAAGACTGCACATGTATACATAAGTAGTAGCCTTACTATCAGAAATGTTTGCGCCTCAGTTTCGTTCTTTGCGACATGGTCTAGTAACTCGTTAAAATCATTAACGCCCCCAAGGCTCAGAACTCCAAATTCACTTTTCCTCGGGTACTTCTCTCTACCCTTTGAACCCGACAAAACCTTTTCGTACGTCTATCCTCCTGCAATCATGGTGCCAAAGAGGCGGAACATTCTCTGCCACCGCTTCCCGTCTCCTGCACTGGCCTTGGACGGGTCTGGTTCGGTAACTTTGATGCCATATTGTTGTATGCAGCATGGAAAAGATCGATTTGTCAATTGCGTCTTTGACTCGTTGCCCTCAGTTTTTTGTTCGTTCTCGTCATCGCTATCAGCTGGAGGGTTTCCCTTTCTTACTGCTTCCTGGGCGGCCGTCTTCTTTTCTTCAAGGTTTCCCCAAAGAGTGAACAATTTGTCGCGAAGCGTAGACAGTAGCTCTTTGTCTTGTCTCAAGTTTGACGCATCGAGACCGGTAAGGCACTGAGCAGCTTGGTTATCCACAAGTACCCATAGCCTTTGCTTCTTCTGCTTGTGATTATCAACTGCGTCTTCGAGTTCCAAGAAGAAGCGCCATTCCCAATTCCGTACTCGAGCGAAAGTATCCAGCGTCATCTGGCTTAGCTGCTGATCATCTTCGGAATCGTCATCGGACACAGAGTCTTCACCGTCGTCAGAGAGGATGTCGTATTCTGACTCCTTCTTTGGATATGCGAAATCTGCAAGGTTTGGTGGAGAGAAGTCGACAACTCGAACATTGGCCCGGTAGTTTAAGTTTACAAATGGCAGGGGGACCTTTACGCTTTCTCCTTCGATGGTCGTTTCATGATACACGATGCTAGTTATTTCCGAAAGTCGACTAGGCGCCTTCCCTTGGTTCTCACATTTCACTAAAATCCATTAGCATGGGTAGACGGTGTGTATCGCAGGGAGAATACCTCGTGTGTTCAGGTCCGCGATCTGAGTTGCATCCTCTTCTGCTTGGTCATCGTCTTGGTCTTGCCTGTCGGCTTCCCTTTTACGTTTGGCTTTACGCCTCGCTCTTGCATTCTCTTTCTTCACCTCCTTGCTCGTTTCCATGCCTTTCTTACGCTTTTCTCCTGCTTTGCTGGCCTCGCTTATGTCCTTGAGCTGCTTGTTTCTCAGGCGTTCGTATTCCCTCTTTCTCTCCAATGCCGCCTTTGCACGAGGGTTAACATACTCGGGATCAACTTTCAAGTCCACCTTCTGCAAGCCAAGCTTGGAACTGGAAGCATCACGATCTTCCCTGAGGAAACCTTCCAAATTGTTGTCATTTCTGCCTGTCTTGATCTGCAAATTCCTTGCGTCGACCCATGACCCGATATCTATGTTTTGGTTACGAATAACGCCAGCATGAGGTTCCCAGCAACTGATTTGTATGGATCTCTTGCCGTAAGGCCCTGGCCAATCATTCGTTTTGGCGGCTGTTGTAAACTTGTCGGTATAGCCGTACGGGTCGCCATCTCGCCCAAGCGAAGCGCCACCTGCACCGATGGAATGGTTGAAAAACGACGGATTTTCTGTATAGTCGGAAACCCACAAAGTTACTACGCCACCTGAATCATAGGGTGGCTTCACAATCTGGGCTACTATGTCGCAGAACTGCCCTTCTCTGACATCTTTAAGTAGGCTGAATTTCTCCTTGACATTTGCAGAAGCAGCGATCATAACCTCAAACTCATCTTGAGCTGGAACCCGATCTAGGTTAATGGCGTGATACATCTGAGAAACAAAAGCATTCTCTTGCCCGTTTGGGGGGGTATCCTTGGGGTAGCTGGTAGGATACAATGCGCATGAAGCTTCGCCAGGAGGTTTAGGGATCTTGGAAGCTTCATACACCGAAATGCTGGTGGGGAAGCTGGTCAACAAAGACCATTCTGACCCTCTTTGTTGGACCTTGGTAATAGTTAGTGCGGAATCCGCTGCACATGCGGTTGACACTTGCCTTGACTTTCTGGACCAGCACAACATCACCACCATCTACCTTTGGAAACTGTCCTTTTTTGCGAAAAATGTTGAAAGCGATCGAGTCGTCATCTTGAATTGAAGAATCGTAAAGTTTGATTTCGCATTTCCAATCTGAGCGTGTTAGACGATTTACTTGGTAGTTGCAAGCGAGATCTCATTCTTACCACTCCCTCTTGTAGGAACTGGAACTTTGAATTCCACAACGATGCCGACTACGATGACCAACGCACCGGCTTGAACTTTGCCATCCAATATGTCGCGAATTGGTGTACAGTTGGGAAGTGTTGATGGAGACATTGGAGCTGGTGTGTCCCAAGGAAATAAGGTTTGAATGAGATTAATGGCTAACTGACGAGTTAGGTAGTGGATTAACGCGACCGCGTTAAGTGCCAGCACTGAGACGTAACGTCGTGCAAATGAAAGTGAGGGCCCGTGAGACGCGGTCGACAATGACGGAAGTGTCTGGTGGGTAGACGCGCCTAGCTACCCGTCCCCCACCTTCTCGATCGCGATAACACGTGACTGTACATGTGACCTGACTTTTCCAAGATGACATGAGCCCAGTGGCGAGTTGCATTCATGCCCGGATACTACTGAGGTACAACGGCTGTGGCAGATTTTTTTTAGGTTCGCATAGTTCAAAGATCCTGTTTTTACATACTGTGAATTAACGGGAGCAGGGGACAAAATTAGTCTAAATTTTGTATCACAACACTCCTTGTTCAAGTGATGGTTGTCAAAAATTTCAGCGCCAAGTGATCTTTCTTTCAGAATTGCAGACCCTTCGTCGGTTGCTTTGTTTACATGCTCTGCAAGTGGATAGAAAACAAACAGTTCTTCTCTTTCTAGACAAATTCTAGATTGCCTTACCCACACTATCTGCATCATACCCTCTTTTTTCGCCTGTAGAGCAGAGCTGATTTGATTACCTGGTGTACAAACTAAAACTTAGATCCATATCGCTGCCTGAGGCTGAAATCACTGCTGGGCCCTCACTTTGTCAGAGACAGAAGCAGTTTCTGTTTGGGTTTAGCAGACAGTCACTACCGCCTGGGGGCCACCTAAAGACTCGCCCACTGGATCAATCATTTCAACACCCTCCTAGTCCCCGGCCGACCACCGAGACTTCTCTTCCCCATCCCATCTCCATCAACAACAAATCTTTCTCCTTTTCCCTTCCTCCAACCTTTTCTTCTCATCCTAGATTTTCCACCCTCCGCCAGTTTCCAGAGCCAGTAACTCCCTTCTTGGACGCTGAGCTTCCCTCTTGCGAACTGTTTGTGCTTCTTCCACCCCGCACAATAATTTGCTGCTGTTTACCTATCAACGTCCCCTCGGTTCTGAATAACACCAGTCATCATGGCTGAGCGATACATTCCCGAGCATCGCCGCACCCAGTTCAAGGCGAAGAACACCTTCAAGCCTGAGGAACTCCGCCGCCGTCGCGAGGAGCAGCAAGTCGAGATCCGAAAGGCCAAGCGTGAGGAGAACTTGGCCAAGCGACGAGGTATCGGTACCGGTGAGAACCGACCTGGTGCTTCCCTTGGCGCTGCCCCTGATAGCGACGATGAGTCCGCTCCTACTGAATCTCAGGTATGTATCATCAACCCCCTGGCTGTTGAGCTGCCGGCTATGCATGCTGTTTGCGCAAATACTGTCGCCATCGCTTCGCCCCGTCCCTCCCGCTTGGCCTGTGATGTGGGGGGAAATACGCACCTCATAACCCCACATTCAGGTTGGTGGATTTGAGCAATGTCAGTCATCGTTGCAGTCATATCTGCTCTACTCGATGCCCCCTGTGTCGACGGGTTGCCTGCAAACAGCATAGCTTTGGCTGAATATTTCTTATGACCGTATGCTAACTTTCATCTCAGTTGAACGAGGATCTTCCCCAGATGGTGCAAGGCGTCTTCTCAGACCAGATCGATTCGCAGATTCAGGCCACTACAAAGTTCCGAAAGCTCCTATCCAAGGAGCGTAACCCCCCGATCGAGGAGGTCATCAAGACCGGTGTTGTTAGCCGCTTTGTCGAGTTCTTGCGATCCCCTCACACCCTTGTCCAGTTCGAGGCTGCTTGGGCCCTGACCAACATTGCTTCCGGTTCTGCCACCCAGACCCAGGTCGTCATTGAGGCCGGCGCTGTCCCTATTTTCGTCGAGCTTCTTGCCAGCCCCGAGCCCGATGTTAGGGAACAAGCCGTCTGGGCTCTTGGTAACATCGCTGGTGACAGCCCTCACTGCCGTGACTATGTCCTCAGCTGTGGCGCTCTCAAGCCCCTCCTTAACCTTCTCGGCGACAGCCGCAAGCTTAGCATGCTCCGCAACGCTACATGGACTCTGAGCAACTTCTGCCGTGGCAAGACTCCTCAGCCTGATTGGACTACTGTGAGTCAATATGAAATGATCAGACTGAATCTATACTGACAACTCAACAGATTGCCCCCGCTCTTCCCGTCCTGTCTAAGCTTGTCTACTCTCTTGATGATGAGGTTCTGATTGATGCTTGCTGGGCTATCTCCTACCTTTCTGATGGTTCCAACGATAAGATCCAGGCAGTGATCGAGGCTGGTATCCCCCGCCGACTGGTGGAGCTCCTCATGCACGCTTCCACGTCAGTTCAGACCCCTGCTTTGCGATCCGTCGGTAACATCGTCACCGGCGACGATGTCCAGACTCAAGTCATCATTAACTGTGGCGCCCTGCCCTGCCTTCTATCTCTGCTCAGCTCCACCAAGGACGGCATTCGCAAGGAGGCTTGCTGGACTATCTCCAACATCACCGCTGGCAACTCTTCTCAGATCCAGGCTGTGATCGATGCCAACATCGTCCCCCCTCTGATCCACCTCCTGCAGAACGGTGACCTCAAGACTCGCAAGGAAGCCTGCTGGGCCATTAGCAATGCCACTTCCGGTGGTCTGCAGAAGCCTGAGCAAATCCGTTACCTGGTTGCCCAAGGCTGCATCAAGCCCCTTTGCGACCTACTCGGTTGCCCCGATAATAAGATCATCCAGGTTGCCCTGGATGGCCTTGAGAACATCCTCAAGATTGGTGACCTTGACAAGCAGGCTGCTGGCGAGTCTGGCGACTCTATCAACCGATACGCTCTCTTCATTGAGGAGTGTGGTGGCATGGAGAAGATCCACGACTGCCAGAACAACGCCAACGAGGAGATCTACATGAAGGCTTACAACATCATTGAGAAGTACTTCTCCGATGATGAGGAGAATGCCGATGATGGTATGGCTCAGCAACCCGCCGGCCCCAACGGTACATTCGGCTTTGGCACCAACGGTGCTGCTCCTTCAGGAGGATTCGACTTTGCCAAGGGTAACGACGCCATGGACATGTAAAGAGCTTCTTGATCGAGGATCGGAATATCGGCAGCCAATTCAAAATGTGGAGCAATCCCAACCCCCCCAAAGACATAGCACCATCACGACACCCCTTCCCCCAGAGCAGTTTTTACCCGACTGTCGTTTACCCCCCCATCCCCATGATATCACACCCATACCGCGTCTTTTTAATGTATCTGGAAGGTTATAAGAGGGAAATCATACTCCCTCAAAATACAGGCCCTATGGTAGCTTGAAAGCTCCAGCCTGAGTGAAGAAGTGAGGCGAGAGCGGAGTCAGTGGAGGCGTCTGGCTTCTCGGTCACAAATGCAGAAGCTACAAACCGACGAGTTTACGTGTGTACGCAGGAGACATCATGATGGTTGGTGTTCAGGCACATGGGACTCGCGCAGGACTATCGCCAAAGCTCAAGGCAGCGTCAATTGAGGACGGGGTGCCTTGGGAAGCCTATGCTAGTGCATCAGGACTTCTGAGATGGTGAAGCTCGAAATTACGGAATTTACTGCCAAGTGGTGGTGAATCTGGTTCAAAAATAGCCAGGAACCGTAGTCAAGTTGTAAAAAAAAGAATAACAGGAGTGTTTGCCCCTCATTTATGATGATTATCCTTGACATGTTGTGACTCGCTTGATGTAGCAAACTGCATCTCTCAGATGACGGGGTTTGACTGTTGACTCGTTAAATATCAAATATTAATCGACCAGAATACTGCGAATACCTGTGAAAGTCTGATGAATGGCGGGGTTTTGGACCGTGTGTGAGCATCCATGTACACAGTACATAACATGGAGTGATACTATGTCCTCACAGTGTGTTCATTCATTGTGCCGAGTCCTTATTTTTTTTCCCCCACTGATTCGTCTCGTTTAACGTCATTTGCTAGGCTTTATCTAGATGGGCATATTTCTTGTAGAGCCATTAAAATCACAGTGATCGTAGTGTAAAGTCTCAAAATAGAAACTTGGTTTCCGAATCAATTCATTGACAATATATCCATGGCATTCAGCTGGAAATAGTTGGTTAAACTAAAGTTATCTACCTACCTACTACAGTAGGCAGGCACCTATCGTGTCTTGTCCACTTACTTTGTAGAAGGAACTCCACCAATTTTAGCTACTACTTACTTATCATCCGGGCTTTGACAATATTCATTCTACAACATCACGACCAATAAGCAACGACCCTTCATAATGGTCAAAAAGGGCAAAGGAAAGGCCAGTGGAGGAATAGATCTCTCGGATCCCATGCCAGCTGGTTCATCCAAAGATCAAGCGAAGGGCAAGAAAGGCCAAAAGGGTGGCACTTCTACTCCTGAAGCGGCACCCGATTCAGGCCCTCCAAAGCCCACGGTAAAGCAACTTATCGGTGGTTCTTCATGGACGGGAAAGCTACCTGTCAATCTACTCAGCGAGTACTGCCAGAAGCAGCGATGGGAGAGGCCCGACTATGATACCAGAAAGACGCCCGAGGGATTCTCAGTATGGGTTACCATGAGCGCCAAGGATCCAAAGACGCAGCAAATTATCAGACTCGAACCCTTCAAGATTCCAGCAACACATAAACATTTGATTACCCGACCCACAGCTATAGAAGCCAAACATGCAGCAGCTACCTATGCTCTTTTCAGAGTCTGTAGCATGCAGAACAAGCACACCGTTCTTCCACCGGAACACAAATCGCTGTGGAAAGACTTCCAGACTCTCAAGGTCCAAGATGTCAAGGAAGGGAAATCTTGGATGTACGAGGCAGATCCTTTCAAGGCTTTGCAAGAGCGACAAGAGGCCAAGGCTGCTGCAGATAAGAAGAGAAAGGAAATTGAGGCTGCCAAAGCCAAAGCAGCTGCGATGCCTGGCGCCGCCGGACTGGTTCTTATGAGTAATGCGGGTAAAGGAGCATCAAACATTATGAAAGGTTGGAGCACGGCGCCCAAGGTTGAAATGGGCAAGAAGACAAGGGCTCAGTTGGAAACTCTATTGCGAACAGGCGTAAAGTGGAATCCGAATGATGTCCACATGTCAAAATCACAGAAAGAAGCTATCGTTGCTGAATTCAGTAAGCTCAGCTTTCGCAAGAGCCATGTGGAAGAGGCAGTAGAGTACTGCAAGGATCGAGAAGAGACGCTCGAGTGGCTTCTCATCCACGTTCCTGAAGACGATCTTCCTCGTTGGGCTTTGCCAGAGAGTTATGCGGCCGGAGTCTCAGTCGGTGCCACTAATCTGAGAAGAGAGGGCATCATCAAGCGACTTGCTCAGGCAGGCTATTCCCTTGAATTAGCTACAAGGGTATTGGACGAACAAGGCATGGATGAGGATAAGGCTGCCGAGACATTGCAGAATTTGCTTTTCCCAATCGAGTCTAAGAACTCTGACGACACCGACTTCTTGGATCTTGGGACGCCCGAAGAGCAATGGGAGGAAGAAGTTGGAAGTCTTGAAGCCATGTATGGGGATGGGTTTGAGCGCGAAGGTGATAATGTCATTCGCATCAAACTAGACTCTATCAAGAACGGACAACAGCTTGTCGACGCATCGTTGCAAATCCGTCGTCCGGCTACCTACCCCGCGAACTTGATTCTTTCGATCTTGGCCAACATTCCCTCTTATATCAAGCTGGGCATCGTCCGAAAAGCGCTCGAGTATATTGAGGAGTCTTTACGTGATGAACCTATGAAGATTTACCTGGCTATGGACTGGGTTCAACAGAATATCAACAGCATCATCGAAGATCCGGGCAAACTTGTTGACATTTCAGCAGTTTCCTCAGCTGCTGCCGAATACAAACCCGTCGCCGCCATCGCACAGAAGAAACGGCCAACCCGTGTACCCAAGCTGATAAAATGGGTAAAGGATGAGAAGAACCGGGAGCAGTGGCTTCGACGGCAAGGATCAACCTCTTTAAAAGACATGATTAGCAAGCGTCAAAATCTGCCCGCGTGGCAGATGCGCGAGGCCATTATTGGTACTGTTCGAAGCAATCATGTCACCATTATCAGTGGAGAAACAGGTTCGGGTAAATCTACACAGTCTATGCAGTTCATTCTGGATGACTTGTATGCGCAAGGACTAGGCGGTTGCGCGAACATGATTGTTACACAACCGCGTCGAATCTCGGCACTCGGACTGGCGGATCGTGTAGCGGAAGAGAGATGCTCACGAGTCGGCGAAGAAGTTGGATACGCAATTCGTGGCGAGTCTAAGAGATCCAAGGACACCAGGATAACGTTTGTCACGACTGGTGTTCTCCTCAGACGGTTGCAAACTTCAGGAGGTCGAGTTGAAGACGTCGTAGCGTCTCTGGCAGATGTCAGTCACGTTGTTATCGACGAGGTACACGAGCGAAGTTTGGACACTGACTTCTTGCTCAACCTTATTCGGGAAGTCATGAAATCAAAGAAAGATATGCTTAAGCTCATTCTCATGTCTGCCACTCTTGATGCGGCGACCTTCAAGAACTACTTTGCTTCGGAAGGGCTCAGTGTAGGCACTGTCGAGATTGAGGGTCGAACATTCCCAGTAGACGAGTACTATCTGGACGACGTGATCCGTATGACTGCATACGGCGTTGAGACTTCCGATACCGAGTACATCAGCGGCGATGCTCTGGGCAAGGTAATTCAGAAGCTTGGACATCGTATTAACTACAATCTGCTGGTTGAGACTGTAAAGGCTATTGACTTCGAGCTTTCCTACGAGAAGAAGTCTGGAGGCGTTCTCATCTTCCTCCCTGGAGTTGGTGAAATCAACCAGGCCTGTCGCGCATTAAAGGCGGTTAGCTCTCTATATGTCTTGCCACTCCACGCATCGCTCGAAACGCGCGAGCAGAAACGTGTGTTCTCAAGCCCTCCCCCTGGAAAACGAAAGATCGTGGTTGCGACGAATGTTGCAGAAACCTCTATTACCATTGACGATATCGTCGCGGTAATCGACAGCGGAAAAGTCAAGGAAACTAGCTTTGATGTCCAGAACAACATGCGGAAACTCGAAGAGACCTGGGCATCGCGAGCTGCCTGCAAACAACGACGTGGTCGAGCCGGTCGAGTTCAGGAGGGCAGATGCTACAAGCTCTTTACACAAAAGCTTGAGGAACAAATGCCTGAGCGACCGGAACCTGAAATCCGGCGTGTGCCCCTGGAGCAACTTTGCCTGTCGGTTCGCGCTATGGGAATGAAGGACGTTGCTGGCTTCCTTGGTCGGTCCCCTACACCCCCTGATGCGACAGCTATCGACGGGGCTATGAAGCTCCTGCGACGGATGGGAGCACTCGATGGTGATGAGCTCACTGCTATGGGTCAGCAATTAGCTATGCTACCAGCTGACCTGAGATGCGGTAAACTGATGGTATTTGGTGCGATCTTCGGCTGCCTGGGTGATTGCGTGACTATCGCTGCAATACTGAGCACGCGAAGTCCTTTTCTGTCCCCACAGGAAAGGAGAGATGAGGCAAAAGAAGCTCGCATGAACTTTTACAGTGGTGATGGTGATCTCTTGACCGATCTTCAGGCTTTCCAGGAGTGGGATTCCATGATGCAAGATCGCTTGCCTCAGCGTCAAGTGCGATCGTGGTGCGAGGAGAACTTTCTCAATTTCCAGACCTTGTCTGATATCTCCAACACGCGTGCGCAGTACTACGCGGCACTCGCGGAAATTGGCATTGTTGCCCCTTCTGAAGCGTCAAGTGAAGCTCACGCTCGTGAAACTAGTTCCGACGGATCTCAACTCTTGCGGGCTTTGGTTGCAGCGGCGTTCACACCGCAAATTGCTCGCATTCAGTATCCCGACAAGAAGTTCGCTAGTTCTATGTCCGGTGCTGTTGAGCTGGATCCCGAGGCAAAGTCGATAAAGTTCTTTAACCAGGAGAACGGACGAGTCTTTGTTCACCCAAGCAGTACGCTATTCGGAAGCCAAGGCTTTTCGGGTAATGCTGCGTACATGGCATACTTCAGTCTCATTTCTACCAGCAAGATTTTTATACGTGATCTAACACGTAAGTACACCCCCCTGAGCCCTCTCTACTTAACAGAACTAACATATAATGCGAAAGCCTTCAATGCCTATACGCTCCTCCTATTTTCAGGCCCGATCGAACTTGACACGCTGGGCAGGGGTCTTCTTGTGGACGGATGGTTGAGACTGAGAGGGTGGGCGCGCATCGGTGTCTTGTTGGCAAGATTGAGAAGTATGGTGGATGAGCTGATTGCAAAGAAGGTTGAGAATCCTGAGATGAGCGTCAAGGACGACGAGGTCATTACACTGGTGAAGAAGATGATCGAACTTGATGGTCTAGACGCATAGATGAAAAGTTTTGAATTATTGGTATCTAGGATGCATATAGAATACGCTTGGTTCATCCAACATCCGATAGGGATGAAAGTTGTTCTTGCGTATAAGCCATTGCACCCAGGATTCTCTATCTGATGAAGTCTCGAAGCTTTGCATTTTGCGAAAAGGATATCTTATATTGCAATGTCCGCCTTGATAAACCTGGTGCATTTCAGGCAAAAGTAAGGTGAGAAGAGACTTGGATCTTCCATGGGACAAAAAAAAACATGTTATAGAATTTTCTATGTAATTTGTATCCAGCAAACCTACATTCATTCGTACGTTGAATTATTCAACTCAAGTCGTTCAAATCAACGCTCCAAAAAAAAAAAAAACACCGTGCTCCAACCATGATGCCAGCCAATAATCCCGTCAATCTGATATCCCTTCGTCATCACACGTTTTAGAACTCTTTGTTGCCTAGCGGCCTTCTAGCGCTGTCCTCGGTCTTAAACCTCGTAAGATCCGCCGTCATTAACTTTCTCAGGTTGCCCATGTCCTGGAGATATTGGTGCATCTCTTCTTGCAACTCGTCCTCGTCGCCGTATGCTGTGCTCTCTGAGTCGTATTCGTCTTCGTCCTCGCCGTACTCGGAGGCATTTTCCTTGTCGTGCTCGTCAAGCTCGTCCTCTGCCTTGACGGGAACAAAGGGAATGGGATTCTTAAGACTCTCAATGGCAAGCTTCAAGTGCAGCTTCAGAGCCTCGTTCTCTGTCTGAAGCTTCTTGATCTTGCTCTCGGCCACCATACTGCGCTCCTCCATCATACGCTGCATGGAGTTGACATGAGTTTGGTACTCCTCCAGTTTCTCCTCGGCCTCCTTGGCGTTCTTCTCACGCTGTCTTGAGTCGGAAACGGAAAGTTGCAAGATACGAATCTCTTCCGCCATGGCAGCAATTTGCGCATCTCGTTCGGCTGTGGAAATGTGGTCTTGGTTGACCACAGCTCTGGTTCGGATTCGCTTCGCCTGGTCGGCATATCGCAACGTCGACAGGGTCTCATCGTAGTCTGAAGGAGCAATGCATGCAATCATGGCTGTCTTGCTGTTTCCGCCCAGCGAGTCTTTGAGAAGCCACGTAAGGATGGAGTCGCGATACGGGACGACGTCTCTTCGCTTTCCAGCCCTGGATGATTTAGGGTCCGCCAGGGCAGCAATGACACGTCCAAGAGTAGTCAAGGACTTGTTGATGTTACTTCCTTCACGCAATCGTGCACCAGTTGCTTCGGTGGCCTTCGCCCTCTCACTACCAGCCAGATCTACCAATCGAATACGAGAGCTTCGCTCTGTTGTCTCATCAGTTTCCATGTCGTGGTGAATCTGCTTCAGCATGATAGTGAAGACGGCGTGACTTCGACTACTGGTATCGTTCATCTTTGTGCTTGCTACCGTACGAGACGTGTCGCCTAGCTTCATGTAGCGCAGAATCTCGTTGATGTTTCGTACGGGTACCTCAGTGAGATCCTTGACGTACGGACCTTCGGTGGGAGATTCGCGAATCTTCAGATAGTTGGGCGCCTTGTGTGTTGTCTGAGGCGGTACCAGCAGGTCACGGACATGCTCGTTGTATACTTCAAAGTAAGAGACGCGGACGTTGTAAGCGACGTTGGAGTTCTCGCTGTGAGCAGCGTCAATGCGCTCGAATAGATCCTCACAGGTTCGAGGAATGAGGCCAGGCTGATCGGGAGTTCCCATCATGGTGTAACTTTTGCCAGAGCCGGTCTGGCCATACGCAAAGATACATGTGTGGTAACCTTCAAAGTTGTGGTCCAAAAAGTCCTCGCCCAAGCTGTTGTAAACGTCCTCCTGTGTGGCATAGTGCTCGTCATCAGTGTCGTGACTCCAGAAGGAGTTGTCAAAAGTGAATTTCTTTTCTTCAATGACCTTTCTGGTCTTGAGTTTTGCGGCTTCTGCGTCTGGCTCATCGGGTGAAGAGAGGGTAGTGAGCTGAGTTATGGGATCCATTTCAATCAGACATTTTGCCTGACGTTCAAGCTCTGAAGGGAATTTTGGTTAGTTTTCAGAGAAGCCTTGCAATGAATCGAAAGAGTCTCTCACCTCTCTTGAGAAACGCTCTCACTCGGACCACGACTTTTACATTTCCTCCGCCGTCCATCTTGGCGGGCATCGATAAGGCGGCATCTCGAGATCGTAGCGAGGGAGTCGAGGCTGATGAATGAACTCTGCCCTCACAAAAAGAGCTCGAAGAAGAGGCCGCAGAAGGCATCAATCTCGAATCCAAAGCCATATTCGTTAGCGTTTGACTGATATCGTTGATGCTGCCGTGAAGTCGGTGTCGAAGAACAATCCACATTTTAACCGCTTTATGGATTTTTGTTTACCAGCGTCATTCGCGTTGCTAGGGGCAGTTGCAGGGGGCCCTTGTCTTGTTCTTTCCAGTTTTGACTGGTTTGACAAGATGAAGCTTGGGCCAAGCAGCCCATCGAAATGCGGAAGCGCTAGGCTGTTTAGAGCTTAGTATTGATATACAAGGTGAAAGAAAAATCACTGCATAAGATACGTGAGCACTGGCTAAACCATTCTGTCTTTTCCACACGCGGGGACTTGACGCGAACTCCAGCCACTTTAATAAGATTTACTATAGCTGTAGCTACTACAGTACTTTCCAATTACCTTGGGTCTACAGTACCTACCCAAACGCGCAACGACCTGTGACACTCATTTCTTCTTTTCATGTCTTCTTTTATTTTCATCAACACGCTCGCGCATCTTAATACAAACCCTCTTTTCGTACAATCTTGGGTCGCGCTCATCTGATTCATTTTTCGAGAATTTTTCCTGTCATTGTTTCTCATTCAATTCCTCTTTATTTCTCCAGTCTTTTGCATCATGGCGCGCACAAAGGAAGATGTCGCGTCCAAAGGCGACTCATCGCCAAAGATTCCCAAATCCTCAGCTGGTGTGACCAAGAACACCGCTGAAACTCCTGTCAAGCGCGGCCGTGGAAGACCACCAAAGGGCGCTGCGCCCATGCCTAAGAAGGTTTACGTCCCTACTGGTCGTCCTCGCGGACGTCCTCCAGGTGGTGGCAAGAAGAAAGCTGCCCCAACACCTAAGAAGGTCGCGGCCGTAAACGATGATGGTACTCCCAAGAGAGGACGCGGACGACCTCGCCGGGCTGCCGCTGCTGAAGATGAAGAGTCCGCTGCTACAATGCCCAAGGAAACCAAGAGGCGCGGCAGAAAGCCCAAGAGTGCTAGCCCAGCTGATGCTTCGGCCGACGAGGATAAGGACGATGATGCTGGTAAGTCGAGATCTTAATCTAACCAACACGACAATTTACTGAACATTGAGTAGCCGACGACGTCAGTGACAAAGAGGCTTCCGTCGCCGATTCGCCTGATAAGGACGAGGTAATTCTATTCCTATGAACCTTTAATTAGGGTACACCATTTACTAACCGGGCGCAGGACGATGGCGAAGAGGAGTAAGCAAGAACGAAGGCACTAAAGTCGGTGACTGCGTGGCAGCAACACCAGCAACGGGATGGATTGTATTCTATTACTAAGGCAAAGGGGTCTGGGTTTGGTTTGGTATAAGGTGCCTGGTAACACAAGGAATAGGGATCTGGCTGGCTGGTCGGTTTCGTGAAATTATTACTTTTGGGATTTTTTATTAAAGGAGTTGTTGTAACAATATCAAAGCTAGGCACTTATATATGCATAGGGGAAACAGGCCCTATTTTCCGTTTACATGCGTTTTCTCATCCGTCAGAGCTTCTTCCATACCTCGTACTCTTCTGCGAGATGTCCCTTTAACTTTTGGAACTGGTTTCCAAAGTTGCGTTTGCATCTCCAGCACCTCATATCACAGCGCAAATAGGCTTCCTCTTTTGTATGACGACGCGCATCGTCAGCTGGGAGAGGGAAGTCGTCCAGGTGGACAAGAAAGGGGGTGTTGAAAGAGTTGTAGTGTTTTCGATGCCTCAACGCTTCTGAGAACATGTCCCTTGATAGAACATGCACGTGTAAGTGTTTCATGCTTGGCACCGCATGCACACCAGCTTTGACTTCTGTCGCCCAGTCCCGACCCCCGGGAAGTTCCCCACTCTCATCCGGCTCAGCATCGCCCTCAAGCACGGCTTGCCGATGCGCATCGCTGTGGCTGTGTGCTCCGAAAGAACGCTGCAACTCCCTGGCCACCAGGGTTTTGAGGCGCTGAGTCTCGGTTCGCACGCTGGCGAGAAACTCTGGGTCATCCAGCGCGTCGAAAGGGTGAAGAAGGTTGTGTTTTGAAGAGCGAGGGAGAAGGAGTGTGTGAATAGTGGCTTTTGGGTAGCGGTCGTTGATGGCTACAAAGTCGTCGTTGTGGTAGATGACTCGAGAAGATGGGTACGAGCCAGGGTCTTCCAAATATGCGCCCAGGCCCATTCTATCTCTGAAAGGGTTTCCGCTCCGTGATGGCCGAGCAGCGGCGGTTGATGGTGGTGTTTTCCTCTTAGGCGCCATGAGTTCTGTGACTTTTACGTGTAAGAATAGACATCGTGAGTGTCCTGTGCAAGTTACTCACATGCATTGTGATTTGCCTTTCTCGGCGGTTCCTCGCTGCGAATCTCCTCCTTGGTGATGGCCTCTTCAGGCTCTGAGTCTTGGGGCGGCATGTTTTAGGTGCGCATTTCCTCAAGGGTTTGTGAGAAATAAATGACGTGAGTCGGTGTTGGTGTTGAAGAAGTTACTTTTAGCTAGTGCTCATGATATGCCAGTGGTGGAGACCTTTCAGCAGATGAGACTGTTTTTTTTTCCCTTTTTTTCCAGAGACAGTCCTCTATCTCAACATCATCGGAATTAGTTTGAGGTATTCATATAGAGATTAGCTATGATTACTTCTGGCTTGGTTTTCATTGAAGATATATTTCTTCACGCTAAATAAGTATGGTCATGATGGGCTCTCATCAAACTAAAAGAAATAACCAGGTCGATTCGACATAAACTCTCCCATCACTCGTCGTTTCATCAACCAAAGTACTGATACGGTAGTTGACTTGGTAATAGCCAAGTTCCAATGATACCTAGAAGCATAACCCACATCAGTTTCAGCCATGCCGGGGATATCTGAGACTGCCATAGTGATTCGCTAAATCGTTGATTACACTGAGAAGTGCCGTTGAAGATCGGTAAGAGGTTGATGGACAAGCAGCTAATGAATTTGTTAAACCAATCAACCAGATTCATGGCTTTGGGGGTACTTTATTCGCCTGTTGCAAGACCCCGCAGTCATGTCATGTCATGGATGTGTCGTTGTGTGTCTCAAGTCCGCGTACTCTGTACTTTGAGGTTGAAAGAAAATGAATGAAGAGGTCCCGAGTGCAGTAGGGTACATATAATTACATAGGACATCCTCTTGTCCAATTCATTCTCACAAAGAACATATATAATATATATGCAAATCGTATCTTAGATTGCATCTGCTCCAGCACAGTAGTTTATTGTTTGGAGTGTAGCTTGCAAGGTTCCATCATGTCCATATCCCCACTATAGCTCAACTCGACTCTTAGACAAACAGACAAGCAGCGACAAATAATTAAACAATCACATTCATTCAGCGGTGAGTATTCTGTTTTTTCTTAGTACTACCTACCTACTTGGGTTGAGGATAATAACAGTACTAAATTATAGACCCCTTGAACCAAGAACCGGACAAATAATAGGGGCTGTTGCTGATGCTATTGTCCGTGCTAAATTGTCCATTCCTCATTCTGTCTGACATGCCCCTCATCAGCCAGCCTGGGCAGCGCCAGCCCGAGCCCAAGCTCCCCGACAGGGTACAAACTGACCAGTACCATACCTACTTATTGCTTGGTACTCTAGTGATATAGGTAGTTTCAACTCAAGCCTCCGTGTTCATCTCCTTTCGTCTTTTATATTTTAACATCTTGCACATCCCTTCTTCTCTACATTCGTTCTCTCTCCCCTATTGACATCCATTCTCACATCAACCGTCACAATGTCCTCCCGTCTACCTCTCTTCACCCGCAACCTCCCAGAGGCTCAGGAGTCCAACGACCCCAACTCTCCCGCCGAGCAGCGAGATGATGCCAAGCGAAACTTCCTAAAGACTATGCGACCACTGCCTACGCAGCACTACTGGAACGTCTACTTCGATCGTCAGGCAAAGGAGGGTGAGACCGGTGACCAGTACCACTCCGGACTGGAGCAGCTCGGTACCCAGATCGAGTCGGTGCAGGACTTTTGGAGATATGCGAACAACACTCCTGTGGGAAACATCGGCGTGCGCGAGTCTCTCTACCTTTTCAAGTCCGGCTTCCGACCTGTCTGGGAAGACCGACGCAACGTTTTGGGCGGTAGCTGGACGTTCCGCTTCCCCAAGAGCATGGGCCCTGATGTCTGGACCCGTATCCAGCTCCTTGCCATTGGCGAGAAGCTCCAGAGTGTTCTTGACGAGGGTATGAGCTCACAAGTCACCGAACCCTCCTAACAAGTGCTAACTATAATTTTTTTTGCAGAGGACCAGCTCTGTGGTGTTGGACTTTCGGTTCGCTTCAATTCCCACCTCATCACTGTCTGGCATCGCGACGCCTCCAAGAAGAATTCGGTCGAAAACATCGTCAAGTGCATCATGGAAGACCTTCCCTCGGAGATGCACCCCAAGCCCGATGCCTACTATTACAAGCGACACTCTGACCATGCCGGCTTCAACCCTCCCCCAGAGCTCAAGGCTGTGATCGATTCCCGACGACGTGAGGAGGAGAAGCTGGCTGCTGCTGCCAAGGATGGCGCCCCAAAGCCGTCGGTGACAATCAACTCTCCGCAATGATTTACGAAAGTTACGACATTTAGTTTGATTTTACTACAGATATTGTTGGGTCCATATAGTGTGAGAATTATCAGTTCACACACCCCGTCGTCGTCCACGAGGGCATGCATCTGATAAGGCGTTTCAGAATTAGGTTATACTATATACATTGGTCAGGACCGTTGATCCTGAAGAACCTAGTACATTTAAGATTGGAGAAGAGCCAAGACCAGTGAATGTACAAACCGCCTCTCATTTACTCATGATGCAAGAACTGAATGGCCGCTACAATGTATTTATCAATGCCCTCACAAAGTCACAGTGCGGTAAGCCTCGAGGCTATACTCACATTGTATTGACGACAGCACCTCGCCAAGTGCTAAAGTGACTATGGTCAATTAGCAGCCCTCGCCGTATGGTCAGGGTCCAGGAAACCTTACCTCCACAAACTGTAACCTCCAACCTTGCTTTCTCGTCTTGTGGTATGTCAACTCCCCAACGCCGCAAAATGGTTCGTTCCTTCGTAAATCGTAGCGCGACTGCGCATCATAGCGGAGTATCACCTCCAGACACCAGCACTCTTCATAACTCGATCAAACTCCTCAGCACCTACGCCTCGAGCAACACCTACGCCTCCGTTGGCCTCCAGAATCATATCCTTGAGCAGCTCCTCGTCCACATCCTCTTTCAGCACGGCTGCTACGCGCCGCAAATGCCCGAGCGTGATCGGTCCATCCTGCCCGTTTGTAAAGAGTCGGAAGGCCTCCTCGACCTCTGCACGGTGAGCATCCGAATCGTGCTCTCTTGTGTGAAATTTGAGGGCGCAGATAGCAAAGAATGGTTCAAAGGTCGCATAGCCGTCGTTATCGGGATCGAGAATCGAAACAAACTCCTTGAGTTCTGCGTACGATGAAGGCGGGACACCGAGGGCTCTGTGAACAAAGACGTTAGCAGTATTCCAAATGTCGCTATTGAGTACTTACATGAGCGCAGACTTAACATCGTCAATGGGTAGAACACCGTACTTCTCTCCATCCATAGGCTCCGCAAAGAGACTGAATGCCTCCCGAATTTCGCCCTCTTCTTGCGGCGTGACGTTGTGCTCCTTTGCGAGTTTGGACTGACGCGTCTTGGGTGCGCTTCCGCCGGCGGCGGGTGCTTTGCGCTTTGGAGGCTATAAGTATCTGTCAGACGCTTCTTTTCCAGTGAATCCGTTTAGAAAATTCATTACCATTTGCACTTTGGTGAGATTAAGAACTGTTAAGAGGTTTCGCAGTAGTTGATGTCACGACGGTTTCTTGGTAGTGACGATGGTGGATTAGGCGTAGCGCATGTACAGTGCGCAAACACCGTGTTTTGTGTGATCAAGACTGTACGGGGTCTCCAAGAACGGATCCTTTATTATATTTTCTTTCCTCGATTCAAACCATCGTCCTTCAACATTCTTCCACAGTCTCTTCAGACTCTGAAATTGCACAACAGTCACTCGCGCTCCTTTGGAGGAAAATCAACGCGAAAGACTCCCAAGGTTTGTTTACGTCTGTTAGACGATCGATACAAGTGATTCCGATGGTCGACCGGGATATTTCTTTATGATATTCTATATATCAACACCCGCTTCTAAAAATGCTAGAGCTTGCCGCTTTGATGTACTACAGCGAGCAAGTGTGGACAGTGAAGCAAAATTAAAACAAGCCTCGTCGGAAAACTTCAAACCGGCGTGGTTCCAGTGGGTAGCAAGCGATGTCAATGTCTTTGTGACGGGCACCTAGCGATCCATGGAGACATACTCAATAGAAGATGATGTATATAGATGGTATCAACCTCAATTGTCTTTCACTCAGAATACTCGCTCTTCAATGCGCCCCATGCTTTGTGCCTGCTTTTGCTCCGAGTAGAAACCGTCGCTCATATTTTCGGCTCTGGTGCCCTTCAACAGACTGGTCAGAAAGGCAAGAAATGCTGGCAGGCGTATTGCTACTTACTCACTTGAAGTTGTTCTTCATCTCACGCAACTTTGCCATAACTGCCACGGGCTCGGTTTCGCCTGTCTGTTTCTGGATCTCGGGGTCCTACTGGTGTCAGCACAATGGTTCTTCCAGTATCGCTGCTGATGGCAAACCTCAACTCTCATAAACACATTGTGTTCCTGCAACAAGTCAGCGACATGTTCTCAACTCCAACCAAGCTTTGCGCGTACCTTCTCATCTCTAATGGTGAACTTGCCAGTAGTAACCTTGTTGTTCTCAGCAAATGAGTGCAGGCTCTGCACAGCCTCGCGTTGAGAAACAGATGCGGCGAACTTGACGTTGGCCTTGGTATATTCGTGTCCAGGCTGGAACAGTGTCAGTGGTTACTTCTGTCTACACTCACGCCCGGGACCTACATAAACAACAGTGTCGTCGGGCAACGCTGCAAGGCGTTCGTTTAGAGCCTCGTGCATCTCCTTGGCATTACCCTCGAAGAATCGTCCACATCCTGATCGTTACCGTTAGCATAAACTCCAATCTCAGAACACCAAGAGCCTGTTTGGCCCTACCTCCGATGAACAAAGTGTCACCAGTAAAAACAGCCTTGTCGTTTCCATCTTGCACGAAGAAGCAGATGCTGTCTTGAGTGTGGCACGGCGTGTGCACACCTTTGAAAGTGATGTCACCCAGCTTGAAGGTCTCGCCGTGACCAGGCGTCTTGGTCACGCCCTCGCAGTCTTTGCCGCCGATGATATCCAACTTGGGGGTGCCGAGTTCGGCAAGCTTGGAAGGTCAGTGAGCGTCCGTAGGTGGTCTGTTGTTGAGGAGATTTACAAGCTTCTTGTTGCCTCCAGCATGATCCCAATGGCAGCACGGAAGTCAGTCGGGTTCGTTAAGCCCGGTATGGATCGGAACTCACTGATGGGTATTGACAATAGCTGTCAAGTTGATCTTGCCCGCTTGAATAGCATCCTTCAGAATCGGTGCAACTCTACAATCTATCGATCAGCGTGCTTCAGTAAGCCTCTCGGCAGATGTATTCATACTCTGGAGGGTTGGCGGGATCAATGATGACAGCATCATTGGACTTGTCGTCAACTACCAAGTAGGCGTAGTTGTTGGAGCTTCCCTCCCCTGTTCAAGTTAGTTCTGTAGATATATCCATGATGTATCTTCCACTGGAGGAAGATTAAGAGTGTTTGCATACACATAGGAATCGACTGGATATGCATGGCGCGAGATGCAACAAGCTATACTGTTTCAGCTGGGTCCGCTTTGAAGTCAAGCAGTTGACTTACAGCAGTTGATAAATATCCAATCTTTTGTTTGAGAAACGATCGGCTTGCTGCGAGTCTATACATAGGACTTGAGTCAGAGACAGATGTCGAGTTGAAGGTGGATGCTTCACTGAAGGAGAGTGTCGAATGAGCTGCGAGGTTTTGTAATCTTATCAACCAAGTTAAGGTACCCGAAGCATCATGGCTCCCGTCCCCGCCGCTGTCATGACGTTTGCCGATGCGGGTGAGGCACGTGATACCAGCTAGGTCTTTGCTTTGCTGTACCTACAAAGATACCAAACCCGTATTCCGGTACATGATTGTTAAGTCTATCCATTTGGGTATCAAATATCTAGAACCGTTTCTTGAAACACTAGACAATTCCAATAGGCTTGGGCTTCCAAGAGCCCTGGAACTGCGACCAACCAAAGTCGTTGTCTTCCTCTTCAACCACATTGCCAGCATCAATTTCATGATCCCCCATTGTAGTGTCCGTAGATCCAGGCTTCGTCGTCTTCTTCTCTTCTTCTGCGCCTTTTAGTTGTTGTGTCAACTGTGCGCATTTAAGAAACGCTTGGTTTCCCGGCAGACTACCTTTGACCTCTTGAATCGTCTTGAACAAGCGTTCCTTAGGCCAACGTTCAAACTCATCAACTATGGTCCGCAATTTCGTCTCGTCTCCTTCTCCAAGGTACCGAAGTATTGCCATACGGCACGGGTCGCTGCTATCCTCGTCCAGCTGCTTCCAATGGTAGTCCCAAATCCACAGCAATGCTTTTCTGACCGCTGTGCGTAGCTTTGCCAACGAGGGTAACTGCTCGTGCGTGCACTGATGGCGTAGTTCAACAAACGTGGCGGGCAGCCCTATTGTGTCTGCAACTGAGTACATACTCTGCTTGCGCTGCTTATCCTGGTGACTGTCGAGAAGCCCGGTGACAAATCTTGATTATACATCAGTGCCATGATGCGATATTGTATTTGAGGCCATGAACTCACCTGCTGAATGCTGCTGAATACGCTGCTCGAATGGCATACGCTGAAGAGGCTGCATTTTCCCTAGTAGCTGCCTCCCGATCACTCAACATGGCAGCCATCAAAAGCGCTGTTGATTCAATCAGATGAGGACAATTTCCTCGCTGCATCCACATCGACACACGCGCAACCGCTTGGTGTTGTCGTGCTCGAGTTTCTTTGTTGTCAATGTCTTGATGGATTTTCATGTCTTCGCTTCCACCAAGGCCACTGGCGTCTTGTGGTAGCTTCTGTTTTGGATCTTGAGCGGCGGTTGTGATGCCTGTGTACATCTGCTCGCGTACGAGCAACAGTTCGTAGCGGTCGCGCCATGGCGTAAAGACATATTGAACCATTTCCCCGGGCTATCTCTCAATTTGAAGTATCAAGAAAATATCTTCTTTCAATGGTTTGATCAAGTCTCGATGAGGCGAGGCGAACTTTTGGCGATGTTGAACTCTGGATCCAAGATCTTGTTAGGATGAAATAATTTTCCGTTGAAGGCGGTCACATATTACTACAAATAATCGTAACCAGCCAACACCAACTGTTCGCATACATATGGATCATATATTGTTATCGGGTTTATAAGTCATTGATGCTCTGTTTTTTCCCACAGAGTGAAGGAAAATTCTTTTAGGTTCCTAAAGATGCACGCGCAAATATGACTCCCACTTATCAAATTGGCGTTGGCAGCCATGAATGAGTCTTCCATTTTCAAGTGATATAAACCTTGCCATAAAGTATAAAAGGACTCGTTTCCCTTAGCCCGCTCGTTCTAATAATGCACATCTACTTCTAGATATAGAATTCTTAAATATTTATAAGAGGTTGCTGACTTTCGGCTTCTAACACATCAAACTTCACAAATATGAGGCATACTGAATACATTACTTACTGCATGTCATATTTATCACACAAATAGGTACTCCTTTTCTTAGTGCTTAAGCTCAGCCGACTTTAACTTTTTCAGTGAACTTTGCTCTTGGCTAAATCTCTCTCACTCTGGTGAACTAAAAACCTTTCCTTTTCCTCACCAAAGTCCCTTGAATGACCCCCAGTTCATCGAAAAGAATGCACACTCGGTAAATTAGTAAGGTTACGATAGCATGGAGCTGTGGAGCTGTGGAGCTTGATCCCATCAGAAGTTACTTTGTTATTTTATTTTCCCAAAAGAGTTAAATTTTGGGTTCCTCATGTTATCAGAAATCTTGGTCGTGGAGATCAAGAGACGAAATGCGCGAGTCGGTTTATGCCGTGAGGCCTGACTATTATTAGGTTGTCTGTTTTTCCCACACTCAAAATCTAAGAGACCACATTTTCCAACATATGTAGCGTCTCCTAGGGGATGTATGATTCTTTCTTTTTCCCTAGTCATTAATTCATCATCGCTCTACTCCGTAAGCTTTGGGTTAACTCTGTTGTTCTCTTGTGTTCGCACTGACAGGATTTGCTTGAGTCACCAAATATGGAGCCAGCCACTTCTCGGCTGCCAGCCACAGCCAACCCTGGGAAGCAGATACGTAATGTCGCAATAGAGTGGGTGGGTGTCTGTAGCGTCTAGAATTTTGAGATGCCACACTCTACGTGCACACGCCACACAGGGCTGGCTACAAGAGGAGAGGGGGTTTGTCGACACATCCGCTTGACCAATGATGAGCTTTCATGGAGAGACGGAAGCACGAACCCGTAGGATACCACATGTCGTGCAGGGATCAACGCATTTTTGATTGAATCAACGTTGGAAGAAACACGGCTCCTCCTGACCCGTCTCTCGTACCTGCCTCACGTCCACAACCAACAGCACAGTGGGATGTTTTGATGTGGTTATTCAGTTGAATGAGTATTGTATGTATGGCTGCCTGAGCCCTGCTATATTGCATCTACCTATTGTGTTGTGTGTGCTCTTGCACGGGGTATCCATAGCCACTTCTTTCTATACATGCTGAAATCCAATCGCTTGTAACAATGCCTGTAATCCCAAAATCAAGACGCCCCATGCCTGTGTCGTTGAGACCCTGTATTCTCTTCCCGAACCCAAGCAAAAACAGAGAAACCAAGCTGGCTTTTCTTACAGGCCCGTAACACCATATTCATACATGTTTCATATCGTTATTCGTACTCGCAATTAAAGACTTGCTTTGCAGCGCCTTTACTCTTCGTCCTCTTCTTCTTCATCATCATCATCCTCCTCCTCCTCCTCCTCCTCCTCGTCATCGGATTTGGGAGGCTCCCATGTTTCCTCAAGTTTCAAGCCCTTGCCACTAGGCTCGTAACCTCTAAACGATGACCCGAGCAGAGATGATACGGTGGATCGGTAGTTATTCAATTGTGGGTCCTCGTTGAACTTTTCTGGGGCATCGTAGAGGCCCATTCCAACCAGGATCTCACCTTCTTCTTCCGAAGCGTCGTCGAGTGCTTGGTATTGAATATCCTCAGAGACCGCAGGTTGAGATAATTGGCTTTGGGGGAGTGTTTCTGGTGTGGGGGGCGTTGTTGAGCCGAATCCATGCATGATAAAGTTGTTCCAATCCCACCCATGGCTGTATGCAGTTTCGACAGGAGCAGAAGTAGCCGGCATTGAACAAGCGTCCGTCGCCAAAGACGCAGCCGGTGAATGCTGCGACATGCAGGTTCCTTGGTAGGGGTTGTATGCCATGTTATCGGCAGACTGGTATGGCAGTGGGAGATGGGAGAAGGCGAGGGGGGATGTCCCACAAGAAGTTGAACTCATCATAGGTGAGTAGTGAGAATAGTTTCCATATAGATCTTGTTGACCAACAGGCGAGTAACTTGGGGCCAAGGTAGGCATCTGCTGTTGTGTTGAAGTTTGACCATAAGAGCTCGGGTGCCAGCTCACGGGACGCGAGGGTCGTTGGTAGGGCTGTTGTGATTCAATATCGCAGAATGAAGAAAGTTGCTCCATGATTTGTTGCTGTCGTCGTTGAGAGTTGCCGTCATTCATGAGAGTCTTGCGTCGAGCCATAAGACTAGACGATCGAGGGCTGTTATTGGCACTCGAAGGTTTGGCGACTCTCATAGCAGTTCCTCCAGGACGCTGTCCGTTGGAGCTTCGCGAGTATCTCCTTGAAGTCTGAGGGCATGCCATTTGTTGTGTGTAATCGTCTAGCGTCACGTCGTGAGGATATGTGACGGGCAGAGAGCCTGCTGGTTGCACGCCGAAGAGTGGGTGCATCATCTTGAAATATCTGAAGGGAAAGTGTACAAGGTAGATGAGAAGTAATCAGAAGTGTTGGTGATAGAAGACAAGATGATATCGAATGTTGTTATCGTCTTTCAATTTGCGTTTGGTCAATGATTTTAATATGACAAGCAAACCATCTGAGGGGCAGACTTCGTTATGTATCGTCAAGTGGTCAAGTGGAGGTGCAATCCCCAAGGGGGGTTCAAGGGAGTACGAAACATGGGGCAATCGATGGCTTGGAAATAAATCGAGCCTAGCAGCTTGAACAAGATCAACTCTCCAAGGATCTGGGTGTGGGCCGGGAAGGACCAAGCAGTGAAGAAGCATGGACGATTTAGCACCAACTGGCTGCAAACCGTGGAAACTACAATGGTCGGCAAATCAGAATGGAGTGTGAGGGGTACCCGACAAGGTTTACTCACCAGAACTGGCCCTGATGGCTTCGTTCCTGTGCTAGGATTGTCAATTTCTGGCATGGCAGCTGAAGTGGTGGCCTGCGTCATACGGGCCGGTAGGGGGTGTCTCAACGGGCGGGGCTAGAGGCTGCGAAAGGTAGGCGGGAAGTAGTGCCGGAGCGAGCATTAGGCCGCTGTTCTGGGGATTGAGACAATCCACAGTATGGTGAACTCGAAGAATTAGATACACAAGTCCTTGTGTTGTTGTGCGAGGGAGTGTAGGTTGAGGTAGTGAGACCATGAGGCTCACGACAAATCTGGCAGTACTACGCCGACCTTGGCGTGGTACTAACAAGGTGAGGGACAAGAAACCAAATGGTGATGGTGACAGTAATGGCAACGATGGAGCCTTCCACGACTTTGATTGCGTTGCAGACCCATGAGCACAGAGTCTTTAGGAAGTGGGCATCATCAGGTCGTCTGGACTCCAGGATAATCACCCCTGCCGCTAAGGATGCAACTCACATGGAGTAGTGAACAATGGAAGGGATGGAGAAGAATCGAGCCCACGGCTAGGAGTTGCGATAAACCACAAATCCGTCCCTCTATAGCCAATCCTTGATAAGATTCATGTACGACTTGACCGAGAAGCAAGGGGGTGAAGCCGAGTGTGGGGGTGCACCGAGTTGCCCAGCAGACGGCGCCACAATGCATGCATCTCTGGGGCCTGAGATGGACTAGGGACCTCAACTAGGAAGCGCCGCGCCTTGTCCAAAGGATGGAACATTTCCTTATTGCTAAAAGTGCCACTCGGGAAGGGTCTCAAATATCAATGCGGGATGGGATGCGCATCACCGCTTTGGTGGTTTGGCATGCTTTTGTTTAATCACTTCAGACACCCCTGCTGTGACCATGTAATTCCCATTTCTCGGCTCCATCTTAACGTTAGAAGCGGGCTGCGAGAGGGTGTCGCAAGACCATGGTGTTATCCTAAAAGAAACAATTATATCTGATCGGCAAGCGCTTGGGTATGGTTGACTAGGTAGGTATGTTTGCAATGGGTTTTGAATCCTCATCACCATCGAGGAGGACACCGGTGAAAACGGTTCAGTGCCCACTCCTCAGTTTCCGTACTTGGCTTTGCGACCCCAAGGCTTTTTCTCAAACAACTCTTCATTTCTCTATTTCATGAACTTGGTGTTTTGCAAAAATAAGTTGTCGGCCGGGGCTTGTGGTTAATTTGTTGCAACAGTGCAGGTAATAAATAGAGTACAAAACAACAGCCCGATAATATGACGTCCAATACTTTCTGGATCTTGATGCCAGTAGCCCGAAAGTTTGAGGAATCAGTCAAGCTATTACCATGCTGCCAGGATATGATGGCGCAGCGAAACTCCATCTAAAGTCTACCTCGCAGGCATCCCGTAGCTCCATGGTCAGATGGTCTAGATGAGGAATCTATCGAGACAATCTCAAATATTGATGTGGAACTGCATCTATACAATTAGACACTGAACAAGGGTCGAAACGACGATTCCTTTGATATGTAACCAACGTGTGGCTGGCCGACATTGCATCGTGTATGCTCTGACTGTGTCCATAGAGTAACAACAAACCACCCAAATCAGGTCAGTACGCGGACGTTAGTGCCCTCATCCGCGTGGGCTGTTGCTATAGTGCATATTAAGTAACAAGCTCCAACCTTTAGCGGTGTGTGTGATGTGTGTGTGCGTGTGTGTGTGCCAGTTGGTGGGAT